AACGCCAACTTTCTGTGGAGGAGAGCAGTGCAGATGGTCCTAGTTACCTTCGCGCAGAGCGAAACACGCGGCAGCCTGCTCCGGTCCAATCCTCAGCCACAAGGTCGTAGCCGCCTCGCAGTCGAACTGACGGTAGGAATCACGTAGCAACTTTTCATAGTCGTCAGAAAAATGTTGCGAGTACTTGGCTGTTTGAGTTGATGAGCTTTCAGTGTGGGGGATTGTTTCGGGTTCGGAGGCTTGAAGTTTTGGCCTTGCAAGCAAAGTGTGTGGTTTTCAGTGTTTGAGCCGAGAAGTGCGCAGACCCAGGCTGGAAGTATGCAGGGCTTTTCAGGCATTGATGCTGGGGATCCACAAAAACACTCCGGCCAGCTGGGAAGCCCTTTGAATGCCACATTGCACTGAGGCACACAGATGCGGTATCTCCAACTTTAAGACAAGGTAGCAGACAATTTCTTGACCCATTTTTACCAGTTCGACAGGCATCACAGGCAGGCGTCATGGGCGTCACAGGTCTCACAAGCGGCGCAGGCATCACACTGTTTCCTTCTCTTCTTGGATCGTTTGGCACATTTGCCCTCTTTGACTGTGTTTTCCTTCACAGGTGTCTTGAGCCCTACCTCCGAGTTGATGTCTAGCATGCTTGGAAGCCTAGCTGTGGAGTGCGAAGTCCCGGCAATATAGTTCACCTGAAACCGTGTTGCACAGCATTATAGAAGATAAGATATAGAATAAAAACAAGCACACACACACAGAGTCACACAGAGAGACTCAGTAAAGGGTAAAAGTACAGTAAAGGCACTGCAAAAGTATAGTAAAAATACAGTAGAAACACCGTAAAAGTGCAATAGAGTAAAAAAAGATTTAAGCGCTTACGCGCGACAGCTGGCCAGGGGCCCATGTTGAGGTGATAGGGGTCGAGCAGGGAGCAAGAGCTCAAGGCTATGTTGCCCCATCGGGAGGCTATGTAGGTCCAGCTTGGGGCTATCGGGGGGCAGCTTGGGACTAGGTGGGCGGCGGTTGCAGGGGTCTTTGGGGCGGCATGGGTTGTGGCTGGCGTCGTGGTTATTGCTGTGGAGGTCGTTGTTGTTGTTGTTGTTGTTGTTGTACATGTGAAAACACAGATCGACATCCATGCCACCATATATGCAAGGAGCAAAATAGACGGACCCGTAAATATATATAGAGTTGAGGTGAGCTAGAGCTTTGCTCAAGCGAGGGTCAGAGCTTTGCTCAGACCGACCAGAGCAACAGCAGTGCCAATCCATGTGGACGACCTGTTTACAGTGAACCTTGCTTCATATACGCAAGTAGCAAAACAGACGAACGCGTAAATATATAGAGATGAGGTAAGCTACAGCTTTGGTCAAGCAAGCGTCAGAGCTTTGCTCAGACCGACCACAGCAAGAAATCTTCTGAGCCTAGATGGTTGAAGGGGTACTAGTGAACAATGACTGGGGTGTGTGGAACCGCATGGGTCCAGCCACCATGCCGCCGGAGAAACTCTCGAAGAGTCCACAAGCGACGGTTGCCGCACACCACCCGCAAAAGGCCCTTCCAATCGGCAGCAACCTTGTGAGTGGTTTTGCCACAGTGACAAAGCATGAATCACTTGGGATATGTCGGGATCATCATGGATCATCCAATGCCAAGTGGGAAAGAAACAAATTAATTAAGACCAGCAGTCATTGGAGGCATGTTTACTGGCCTCTCATCGCCACGAAGAAAGCTATCCACAAGCTCGGTGAGTTTGTAGCCTTTGTGGGGCGGTTGTCGAAAAGTGTGAGACACATTGCTGTGCGCAAATCTTAGCCGCATGTCGGTGATGTCAAACCATTGGACCAAGTGCCTCCACTTTTCTGATGGGCTAGAAGGATCCAAATTTCTAATCTGTTGCCGGAAATGCCTCAGCACATCCTGCAAGAGTTTTGTGTTGATAGGATGGATCTCCTGCTCAGACTCGGACCCATCATCGAGCATAGAAACATCTCCAATCTGATGGTTGTTGTTTTCTATGCCTGCAGATTCTGGTAACACCAAAGCTGCGGGCTGCTCAGAAACATCTCCAGTCTGATGGTTGTTGTTTTCTGTGCCTTCGGATTCTAGTAACACCAAAGCTGCGCGGGGCTGCGCACTAACATGTATGAAACTAAGGAAAGCGGTTTTGGCTGCCAAGGGGCTGAGCATGCTTATAGCTTGTGCAGACGTGGTGTGTGCAACCAAAGAAAGCGGTTTTGGCTGCCAAGGCGCCGAGCCCGTGTGACGGTGGATGCCAGACACAAGTGCGGCCAAGGAAAATTTTTCTTGCTGGCCAGAGAGGCAACAGGCCAGGGAAGGAATTTGTCGATGGCCATAGGGGCAACAGCCCGGAGCCGGCGAATTATTGTTGAAGGTACACAGGTGTTGTTGTTGTTGTTGTTGGTTGTTGTTGGTTGTTGTTGTTGTTGTTGTTGTTGTTGTTGTTTGGTGCGCGTTGTTGGTGGTTTGTTGTGGGTCGTTTGTTGTTTGCTGGGTTTTGTTTGTAGTTTGTTGTGGTTGTTATTGTGAGGTGTCGGTTGTGTGTCGTTGGTTGTTCCTTGTTGGTTGTGTGCGGTTTGGTGTTTAGTGTTTGTGCTTTGTTGTTTGTTCTTTGTTGTTTGCTGTTGGCTGTAGGGTGGCCTAGCGTGAGGCTAGCTTGAAGGGTCAGTTGCTGCTGTTGTAATGGTTTGGTGTTGGTTGGTGGTTGTTTGTGGCTTGGGGTTCGTTGTTGGGTGTTGGTTGTCTGTTGTTTGTTGTTTGTCGCTGGTTGTGTGTTGTATGTTGGCCGAGCGTGAGGCTAGCTTGAGGGCTCTGTGGGCCCTGTTTGCTATGTTGGCCCATCTTAAGGCTATGTGGGCCTAGCCTCAGGGCTCGGTTGGTCCCGCTGAAGGCTATGTTGGCCTATGTTGGCCCATCCTGGGGCTATGTTGGCCTAGCTTGAGGCAATGTGGGCCCAGCTTGGGGCTATGTTGGCCCATCTTGGGGCTATTTTGGCCCAGCTTAGGGCTATGTTGCCCCATTTTAAGGCTATGTTGGCCGATCTTGGGGCCTATGTTGCCCCATGTTGACCCATCTTGAGCCACTAGAGAGTCACTAGATCCGAAAAATTGTAAAAAATGGGAGCAGCAAAAAACACTGTAAAACGCAGGGTATTTCAGCGCTTACGCGCGACAGTCGGCCAGGGGCCCAACTATGTTGGCCCATCTTGGCTATGTTGGCCTATGTTGGCCCATCCTGGGGCTATGTTGGCCTAGCTTGAGGGCAATGTGGGCCCAGCTTGGGGCTATGTTGGCCCATCTTGGGGCTATTTTGGCCCAGCTTAGGGCTATGTTGCCCGATTTTAAGGCTATGTTGGCCAATCTTGGGGCCTATGTTGCCCCATGTTGACCCATCTTGAGCCACTAGAGAGTCACTAGATCCGAAAAATTGTAGAAAATGGGAGCAGCAAAAAACACTGTAAAACGCAGGGTATTTCAGCGCTTACGCGCGACAGTCGGCCAGGGGCCCAACTATGTTGGCCCATCTTGTGGCTATGTTGGCCTATGTTGGCCCATCCTGGGGCTATGTTGGCCTAGCTTGAGGGCAATGTGGGCCCAGCTTGGGGCTATGTTGGCCCATCTTGGGGCTATTTTGGCCCAGCTTAGGGCTATGTTGCCCGATTTTAAGGCTATGTTGGCCAATCTTGGGGCCTATGTTGCCCCATGTTGACCCATCTTGAGCCACTAGAGAGTCACTAGATCCGAAAAATTGTAGAAAATGGGAGCAGCAAAAAACACTGTAAAACGCAGGGTATTTCAGCGCTTACGCGCGACAGTCGGCCAGGGGCCCAACTATGTTGGCCCATCTTGTGGCTATGTTGGCCTATGTTGGCCTATCTTGCGGGCAATGTGGGCCCAGTGGGCTATGTTGGCCCAGCTTGGGGCTATAAAGAACAGCAAAAAACATTGTAAAACGTAGGAGATGGTCGGCGGCCTATCTTGGGGCTATGTTGGCCCATCTTGGGGCTATGTTGGCCCAGCTTGGGGGCTATGTTGCCCCCTCTTGAGGCTATGTTGGCCGATCTTGGGGCGATGTTGGCCCATCTTGGCGCTATGTTGGCCCAGCTTGGGGGCTATGTTGGCCCATTTTGAGGCTATGTTGGCCCATTTTGAGGCCTATGTTGGCCCATGTTGACCCATCTTGAGCCACAAACTCCGAAAAAGGGGAAAAAATGGGAACAGCAAAAAACACCGTAAAACGCGGGACTTTTTAGGATTTTTTTGACGGGGGGGGGTAGGTCGGCGGCAGGGGGTGCAGCCCGTACGTTCGACACTTGGAGGCTATATCGCAAGCCAAGAGGCTATGGATCAATACTAATCAAAAGGCAGCGAAGCGAACCATAGGCGCAAAATGGACGCAACTGATTCCGCCTGCTTCAGGGCATATAATAGGCTTTCCAGAAAGACATGCCGATGGAGCCGTTGGAGCCGTTGGAGCCGATGAGGCCGATGAGGCCGATGAGGCCGATGGAACTGCTGGAGCCGATGGAGCCGATGGAGCCGCTGGAGCCGCTGGAGCCGATGAGGCCGATGAGGCCGATGAGGCCGATGAGGCCGATGAAGCCGATGGAGCCGCTGGAGCCGATGGAGCCGCTGGACCCGCTGGAGCCGATGAGAACGATGAGGCCGATGAGGCCGATGAAGCCGATGAGGCCCATGCACCCGATGAGTCCGATGAGGCCTTCACCAATATCCAGACACTTTGACCGCAGTGGTGAGGCCAATCAAGTTTCTTTGAAGCTTGGTTCCAAGTCTGGAAAGCAGCAACTCCCAGAGTCTAGTAGCACAAGCAAGTCATGCAACCTTGTTTGTTTCGTTGACGAGACTAGTAACACCGTTTTTGCTCTTTTGACTTTGTTTGCATCATTGTCTTTTGAGCCAGTTGTGCAAATCACCAGAATGCTTCGCCTTCACTGTTGGAATATCCTTCTGGGTATTTGTGTTGGGTTGACTGTCTTGACCAGTTGTTTTTGCGGATTTGACTTGACTTGCTTTTTGCTGCTGCCTTTCCGTGATGGTAGCCTTTGTTTGCTTGAGTCCTTGCTGATTGTCCTTCTCAATCTTGCGGCGCAGTGGGTTTGTCTACTGGCCCTGGTGTGCGTGGCAGTCATGCATGTGCCTTCTAAGCTGACAGTGTGTCGTCGCTCTCACGTTGTTGTTGTCCGGAAGTCTTTGTGGCCGGATCTTCTTGGGGGCACTGGTTTGGAGGAAATTGGTTCCAAGTCATGGTTGGACAACATCTTGCAGGGCTTGAATGCCCGACAACTGAAGCCACCCATGCAGCAAGTTCGGATGCTCGCGCAAGATGAAGCCACTTTGCGGCGACTACAAAAAAGTGAATCGCTGAAACATCAGCTTGACATTATTTGTGGCGCTGCTTATAAGGCCAAGTTGTCGTGGAAGAAAATTGATCAAATTGACCCTGTTTCTTCTACTCTCTCAACTGCTGCCCCGGCGGCTCCTCCTCCTTTGCCTGAAGTGCAAACATGGAGGTTGCGTGCTCGTGACTGGAAAGTTGTGAAACCAGCAGCTACCGATGGTGACGCTGTGAGTGGAGAAAGGCATGATGCATTTCGCGATGTGGCTGATGGGGACCCTTTGTCGCACTTGTGGTCTCGCAAGTTAGGTGCCTATTTTGTGTCTGCGGTTGAGGCTACTCGCATTGTTCGGTCCGTTCCTGCCCATGCCCCTCCAGTTGGTGTTTTCACTCTTGTCACTCTTGAAGCAACTGCGCGTTCTGAGGTGCAACCGGTCGAGACTATTGTTGTCTTTCCTGACAATAGTCATCACATTTACAAGGTTTTTCTCACGCACCTCGGCACTGACAAGTTGAGAACTACTGCTTGGACTACGGTATCGCTTGCTTCGGTTGATTCTGTTGAAGTGTTGCTTGAATGGTGGAAAGATTTGTCTGATGGAGCTGTTTTGGCTGCCTTTGATAAATTTGTGAAACTTGCTTCTTCGCCTGTTGATTCTGATAAGGACTCCTTGGCCAACAAGGGCAAGTCCAAAGGCAAAGGCAAGACCAAACATGGTAAACTGCCTCACCGTTTGTCTGACACTTTGGTCGCGAATTTGAATTCACACGTGAGTCATATGCTTGGCGATGCCACTGGCCAAAAGCTGGCTGGCGCATGGACCGCCTCCGGCCACAATGTCAGGGCTGATATCATTCGCGTTTCTGTTCGCCTCCCAAAAGCGGATGCCCTTACCTGTTTGAAATCGGGAACGCAGCACAGTGCCGTTTTGGTTCGGGATATTCACACCATTCCTGAGGCGAAAGACTTGTGTTGCGTCTGGATTTCTCCTGGCTGTCCTGTCCTTGAAGGTTCTGCGGCCCACACTCGCCAAAGTTTGCAGTTGTATTTGGCTAGCTTTGCTCACCCTTGGTCTGTTGTGCGTACTCCTTTTCGTTGGGGGATCAGGATCCACAAAGATCATGAGAGAGAAGTTAAAGCCATTGTGCAGCCGCATGCTGTGTTTGTGCCTGCTGATCACTTCAAGTATCGTATTGCGCATGTTCCCAGATCCCTTGATCCTGCTGTTCTGGTTGCCACTCTGACCTCTGACTCGTTCAAGCCCTACTTGGTTTCGTCTTTCAAGGGAGTTGTGACCATAGCTGCGCCCTGTCCACCTGCGGACATTGTGTTTACAATTGCTGAGCTTGGTTGTACTCTGTTACTTCAGCATCTTCCTGGTCCTGCCAGTGGTGGTCCTCCTCTTGTCCCGTCCCGCCATGTTGAAGGTGCGAGCCCAAAGCGAAAGAGTCGGCGAGCTGACTCTGAAAATGCTTCTGTTGGTCCTGACAATGGCCATGGTGCTGACACTCGGGGTGGAGCTAAGGGAGGGGTTCTTTCTACTAATCCGTTTGGTCCTTTGGATGATGCCTATCAAGTTGCTTTTCCGCCTTTGCCCAACGCTGGTGTTGCTCGGGAGCTCGCTTCGACCGAACCTGAGTTTGAGCTTGGAACCCTGCCTAATCTCGGGAACACATGTTTTGCGGCTGTGGCTGTCCGTTGTTTGGCTCACATTGTCAAAAAGTCGGATTTGCGCTCGTCTGTCCTTCAAGATGTTTCCTTGAGGCGTTTGTTGGATGACTTGTCGCCGGCCCAGTGGACGCGCTTCATCAAACATCATCACCTCGAGCATGGTCAGCAGCAAGATGCTGCTTTGTGGTTGCAGAAGTGGTTGGACTCTGAGTCGGTTTTGTGTTCGCATCTTTCTGTCACTGAACATGTTGCTCTTGAATGTGTTGGGTGCAGTGAGCCCAAGACAGCTGAATCAAGTTTTTCTCTTTGGCGCGTTCCCGCTCCCAGTGGCGGCTCTACTTCGTTGCAGAAGCTGCTTGATGATGATCAATGCTGTTCGGCCAACCCTGAGGTTGAAGTCTCGTGCTCATGTTGTTTTGCTGAACACGCGGAAGCTGTGTCTAAGCGTCTTTCTTTGAATGACTGGCTTCTCATTCAGACTCTGAGGGCTGATGTCAATGATAAGAAAAAACACACGGCTATTTCACTCCCCGACACGGTTGTTGTTGCTGATGCGTCTTGGGATATGCACCTTGCCGTGTGTCACTTGGGTGAGTCTGCGTCTTCCGGGCATTATGTTTTGCTTGTTCGTTCAGGTCACGATTGGCTGTTGTATGACGATGGAACTTGTCGTGTTGCCTCTGCTCAAGACATCTTGGATATGCCTTCTTCCTGGTCGTTTGTGTTGTATCGTCGGCGTTGTGAAGGATCGTCGCCGCAGTCTCCTGCTGTTGTTGTTGTTGTTGTTGACATCGCTGCCTTGCCTGCATCATGTGCTGATGCCGTTCCTTCGTCAAACCCTCCTGTTGCCCACCCCACGGTTGGTCCTGGCAGGGATGACCGCCCTGACATGCCGTCTGCTGACAAGCGTGCTGACAGTGTCAATGATTCCAGCGGCCCTCTCCATGCTGATTTGCGCAGCTTGCTTGCGGTTTTGTCTCAGCGGGTTGATGCGCTTGAGGTTGAAGTGCAATGTCTTCGGGGAGCTGGTTCCCTTCATGAGAAGCTTGTGTCCTTGGCTTGTCCGGGTTCTGGTCTGTCCGTGCCTGTGCGTTCAACTCTTGGCGATGCTTGTTCTCCCGGTGGTGACCGTCTAGGAGACACGGTTGCGAGCAACCCTGGCTGTGATGCGGATAAGCTTGTTGTTGCCTCTTGTCAGGGTCAGACCGGGATGCAGGCCCAATCCTTCCCTTGTGGCCCTCCTCCCCCGGTCGTTATCGAACCTGTTCCTTCGGACGCTTTACCAAAACGGAAAAAGCCAGTCGAAAAACAAAGCAGCAATCTGTCATCAATTCCTGTGGGCTCTTTTCCCCGTTCCACCAATCCGGCAATTGTGGCTGAAATCCTTCGCTTGCAAACTGCTGGCTTTGCTGAAGTTGCTTGGATTTTTGAGCGCTTGCACGCTGACTCCATTTTGCTCCCTTTGGCCCAACAGGCGCAAGACGTTGGTGGTTGGAAAAATCTGGGTGAAGCTTTGACTTATAACAGTCGTGAAGCTCAAACTCAACTCCAGAATGATGGCATCCATAGCCCAAGCGTCCGCTGGCTTGTGTTTCGCATGCTCCAGCGTGGGAGGTATAATCGGTTTGCTTCTGTCCTGGCGGCTGGTCATTGGGACCTCTTGCGTCAGAGTTTGGCTGTGTGCGACGTTCCTGACTGGTGGTCGCCTCCTTGGTGTCGTCCTGTCCATCGTCCGCATGCTGCGCAAGCTCGTGGTCGTCGCCCGTTGCTTCCTCATGAATGGCATCGCGCCCAAAGTTCCAAACGCAGTCGCCCCCCTGTTCCTGTTGCTCCTTGTGTTGGTGGCCCTGTCCGTTCGCGCAGTCGTTCCCGTTTTCGCGATCAAACCTTGCCTGTGCCGGTTGCTCAACCTGCTGTAGTTGGAGCTCGTAAGGTCTCTGTGGCTGTTCCCACCTCTTCTGTGAAGAACAAGAAGAAGCGCAAGGCGAAAGGCCAAGCTGATGTCAAAGGGGGTGAAACTGAATCTGGTTCAACTCCTTCCTTGTTTCGGGTTGCTGCTATGAATGTGACTTCCCTTTTTTCCCGTGTTGCTGCGGTCTGTGCTCTTACGTTTGGTCTGGCGTGTGTCTCGGAGACTGCTCTCACCGGTACCGGGCAAGCCAGTGTTACTATGCGACTGCAGCAGTCAGGGCGTTGTGTAGTTTGGGGCGCTCCTGTGCATGGTCCTGGCGTTTCGTCGTCTCGCGGTGTTGCCTTGATTGGTGGTCCTGGCATTCGTCTTTCGCCGCTTGATCTCCCGGATTGCCTGTTGGATTATCGGGCCGATGGTCGTATTGTTGCTGGCAAAGTGTCTCAGCAGTTTGGCAAAGCGGATATTACTTGTGTTGCGTGCTACGGTCACACACATGATGTTCAACGCCGAGAAGACATGCTGAGCCAGATTGTTGGTTGGGTGCTGTCGTTGCCCGGTCATGTCCTTGTCGCTGGGGATCTCAATTCCTCTCTTCAGGATTCACTTGCTTTACACCAGCTCGTGCGGCAGGGTTATCGAACGGCCAATCCTCAGGAAGTTGTGACATGCCGTGCTCATAACTCTCACACGGGTTCCGTTATCGACCATGTCCTTTTTTCTCCTTCATTGTTGCAGTCCTTTGTGTGTGGGGAGGTTCTCTCTGCTGCTCCCTTCCCCACCCACCGACCCGTTTGCGCTGATTTTGATTTCAATCCTGCTCATGACTCTTGGAGTGTTTTGCAACCTCCTCGGTCTTTCCCTCTTTCCGAGTGTGTCTCCCGTTCTGTTAAGTCCCAGGATTGGTCTGCTGACTTTATTCATGTCTCTAATCTCCTTGAAGATGAACGCCCTGATGATGCGTATGCTCTATGGACCCAACTCGCTGAATGTGAACTTGCGCGGCAGTGCCGACTTGGTGGAAAAACTGTGTGCTCCTCCCATTTCGGTCGCGCTGTTGTTCCTGCTCTTAGGGTTTGTGATCCGCAGTCTCTTCGGCTCCAAGGTGATGTTGACTTTCGTCGACTTGAACGCGCTCGTGCTGGCTTAGCTGAACTGTGCTCCTGTTGGGATTCTTGTGTTGCTAACAATCACAGCCAAGCCATCTGGACAAATGCTCGTCGTCGCATCCTCCTTGTGTTTCGCTCTCATCCTCTCCCGAGCCAACTCCCTGGCAAGGTTGAAGTCCAAACTCAACTTGATTGGTTGCGGCGCACGATTGATCGGCGCAATAAACAACGTCGCGATGAAGTTTTGTCGGCCTGGCGCACTCGCATGCAAATGTCGCAGGCTGAAAGATTCAAATGGGCTAAGGCCAAATACACCTCCTGGCAAAACATTCACGATACCGTTGCTTGCTTTCGAAAGGTTGAAGAGATCTGGCAACCGATCTTGGCTCGACGCCCGGATGCAGCCCCTTCTTGCCCATCAAACTTCACCGAAAATGGTTTTGCTGAGCCTGCCTTGTCTAGCTCTCTCAAAAGTACGTTGCACCAGCTTGATATGCTTCGCATGTCTGGTTCTGATCTTCGGTCTGCTGTTGACAAAATTGCGGCTCACTCCGCTTGTGGTGCTGACGGTTGGCGTCGGTGTGAGTTGCTTGCCTTGCCCGCCTGTTTCTGGGATCTCTTGGCTCAGGTTTTGTATGGCATGGCTGCTTCTGGCACTTGGCATCCTTGTTTGCGCACGGTTGTGACTACTTTGATTCCCAAGAAAGCTTCTGTTGACTTTCTGACTGATCCTGCTGGTTTGCGTCCGATCTCTGTGGCTTCTGTGGTTTACCGTGCTTGGTCTGGTGTCGTTGCGCAACGTCTGCATGCTGTTTTGGAGTGTTCTCTGCCATCGTGCTCTCATGGCTTTCGCACTGGTGAGTCTGCCCAAGCTGCTATGGCCTCCACGTATCTTCGTTGTCAAAATGCTTCCTTGTCTGGTTGTCATGTTTATTTGGTTTCCTATGACATGCACAAGTGTTTCGACTCGCTTCCTTGGCGCAAAGTGCGTGACAGCTTGGTTGAATGCGGCGTGCAACCTGCGTGTGCTAGTGCTCTTCACAGTCTGTGGTCTGGTCTTCGTCGTATTTGGAAACTCCAAGGTCGTTTCTCTGACGCGTTCTTCTCCAGTACTAACGGCCTGTTTCAAGGGGACCCTAGCGCTCCGGCGTGTTTGTCTGCGTTTCTCTGCTGTCCTATTCGTGAGTTGGCTCGTCGTTTTCCTGAGGTTTCTATCTCGCTTTATGCTGATGATGTCCTGTTGTCTTCGCCTCATCTGTCTCAGCTTCACGCTGCGCATGATTTCTTTGTTAGTTGGCTTCAGGACCAGCATGTCACCTTGAACATCGGTAAGTGCAAGTGGGCCAGTACTTGTCCAGGCAATGATGCCGTGAGCGCGGCTCATTTTCAAATTGGAGGCGTCAACTTGGGGCGTCTCACTATTTTGGAAATATTGGGTGGGCATTTTGATCTCGGCGCTCTCTGCGTTGGCTCTTCTGCTCACTGGACTGCGTTGTTGGACAAGTTCTTAACCATTGCCAAACGGTTCAAGTGTTTGTCAGTCGGGTATGAACCTCGATCTAGAGATATTGGGGCTTTGATGAATATGCTCACTTACTCTGCTATCGCTTGGGATCCTCTGAGTGCGGTTGATGCTCGCACACAGCGCATCCTTGTCAATGTGCTCTCTGGTGGTCGCACCAATACCCGTAGGTGCTTAGAAGTTAGTCTTGCTCTTCTCAGTCCTATTCATCGGTCCTCTATTCCTCATGCGCTGCTTCATGAACAGGTTGCGTTGTTGTTTCGGCTGGCAAATACCAATTTGGAATATCAACAGCTTTTGCAGTCCCATTTCCATTTATGTTCTGAAATGACTTGTCCTCCTGCTGATTCCTTTTATGTTCGGCTTCAACAGGCCCTTCAGGCTTTTGGGTGGAGGTGGGTTGCTTGGAATCAACTGGCGTCTCAAAACGGACAAATGTTTCATCTAGTCTGCAAGACCATGGAATGTCGCCGCAGAGTTATGTGTCAATCCTTCGCCCAGGCCTCTGATATGGCTGATGTGATGAAAACTTTTGCAAGCACACGTTTGCTTCATAAGAGGGAACTGCATCAACATAGCCTTTCATGCTTGCATGCTTTGCGCGATGCCATGCGCCATGTGTGTTTTCAGACTGCTAGTCGGCGCAGACGTGACATGCGCAATTTGGAACATGTTGATCGGGCTCTGTTGCGTCGTGTTCTGGGTTCCGATGAGGTTGCATGCAGTATTCGTTGTATTATGCAAGGTGCCACTCTCACTGCTGATCGTCTGAGCCGGTCTTCTCGCGGTACTGTGTCTGCTACTTGTCCGTTTTGTCGCCTTGGTGTTGAAACCGAGATTCATCGTTGGTGGCAATGTCCGCGTTGGGATTATGTCAGGTCTTCCTGCTTGGGTGAGCATGCCCCTGTGATTTGCGCCCAGCTTGCTGCAAGCGACTCTGTCGCATCAATTTGTGGCATCCCCACTCTGGGTTTGTCAGCTTTTCTACAGTCAAAGTGGGTAGACATTTGTGCTTGCATGGCGGCTGTTTTGGGAGCTGCCAATGAACATGATCAGCAATTTTTTCGTTGGCTCTCAGTTTTGGCGTGCATCGGCATTGTGTCCGTTTTGTGGATGCTTTGTCCTTGGCTGTGCGCATTTCTTCTCGAATTTGATCCTTGTGATTCTTTTGTATAGCTTGTCTGGCTTGGATCTTTTGTTGAATCCGGGGCAGATTGCATTCATGCGCTTTTCCAGCATGATCTTTTGGCAACAATTTTGTGGGCCTGTGGCCCTTCACCTGGGGTAACAGATTCAAGTTCTTTTCTTGGGTCCGAGATCCCTCATCTGCATTTTGTAGGTGAAAATTGGATCAAGATGAGTCCGATGAGGCCGATGAAGCCGATGGAGCCGCTGGAGCCGATGGAGCCGCTGGACCCGCTGGAGCCGATGAGGCCGATGGAGCCGAAGGAGCCGATGACGCCGATGAGGCCGATGAGGCCGATGGAGCCGATGAGGCCGATGAGGCCGATGAGGCCCATGGAGCCGATGAGGCTGCTGGAGCCGCTGGCGCCGATGAGGCCGATGAGGCCGATGGAGCCGATGAGGCCGATGAGGCCGATGAGGCCGATGGAGCTGATGAGGCCGCTTGAGCCGATGAGGCCGATGAAGCCGATGGAGCCGATGAGGCCGATGAGGCCGATGGAGCCGATGAGGCTGATGAGGCCGATGAGGCCGATGAAGCCGATGGAGCCGCTGGAGCCGATGGAGCCGCTGGAGCCGCTGGAGCCGATGAGGGCGATGAGGCTGATGAGGCCGGGTAACGTCGATGGAGCCGATGAGGCCGATGAGGCCGATGAGGCCGATGAGGCCGATGGAGCCGCTGGAGCTGATGAGGCTGCTGGAGCCGCTGGCGCCGATGCGGCCGATGAGGCCGATGAGGCCGATGGAGCCGATGGAGCCGATGAGGCCGCTGGCTGGAGATAAATCCACGCAGTATTGCCAATATAAAGGGAGTTGCAGGTTACAGCTACATGTATCGAGACACCTTAACCCATTCCACCCTGCTTATACATGCACAAGAAGTGGTGCCGCAAAATCGACGCCAACCGTCAATGGCACGGGTGCAGCCCCTCTCTCCTTCGAGAGGAGAGAACTGCCGTACGGCAATGCCACGGCCAGCACTGGGCCATTTTGATGGTACAGGGTGGGGGGGGGGGGGTCGGCGGCAGGGGCGGCGGCCCCTCTCTCCTTCGGAGAGGAGAGAAGTGCCGTACGGCAACTCCGGGCCCCCAGGGCCCCTGGCCGGATTTAAGCGCTTACGCGCGACAGCCGGCCATTGAGGTGATATGGTTCTAGTTGGGAGCAAGAGCTTAAGGCTATGTTGCCCCATCTTGAGGCTATGTTGGTCCATCTTGGGGCTATGTTGGCCCACCTTGGCGCTATGTTGGCCCATCTTGGGGCCTAGGTTGGCCGATCTTGAGGCCTATGTTGACCCATGTTGAGCCAAAAGATCCGAAAAATGGGACAGGCAAAAAAACACTGTAGAACGCATGATATTTTGATGGTCGGCGGCCTATCTTGGGGCTATGTTGGCCCATCTTGGGGCTATGTTGGCCTATCTTGAGGCAATGTGGGCCCATCTTGGGGCTATGTTGGCCCATCTTGGGGCTATGTTGGCCTATCTTGAGGGCAATGTGGGCCCATCTTGGCGCTATGTTGGCCCAGCTCGGGGCTATCGTGGCCCATCTTGGGAGCTATGTTGGCCCATCTTGGGGCTATGTTGACCCATCTTGAGGCCTATCTTCGCCCATGTTGAGCCACTCGAGCCACAAGATCCGAAAAATGAGAAAAAAGGGGAGCAGCAAAATACACGGTAAAACGCAGGGTATTTTGGCGGCCGGAGAGGAGAGAGACGCCTACGGCAAGGACACGGCCAGGGGGCCCCTGGCCGGATTTAAGCGCTTACGCGCGACAGCCGGCCAGGGGCCCAACTATGTTGGCCCATCTTATGGCTATGTTGGCCTATGTTGGCCTCATGTTGACCCATGTTGAGCCAAAAGATCCGAAAAATGGGAACAGCAAAAAAACATTGTAAAACGCAGGAGATTTTGATGGTCGGCGGCCTATCTTGGGGCCATGTTGGCCCATCTTGGGGCTATGTTGGCCTATCTTGAGGGCAATGTGGGCCCATCTTAGAGCTATGTTGGCCCATCTTGGGGCTATGTTAGCCCATCTTGGGGCTATGTTGGCCCATCTTGAGGCCTATGTTGGCCCATCTTGAGGCCTATGTTGGCCCATGTTGACCCATCTTAAACCACAAGATCCGAAAAATGGGAAAAGAGGGGAAGAGGACAAAACACCGTAAAACGCGGGAGTTTTTAGCGGTCCCCACGGGCGGCAGGGGGCGCGGCCCCTCTCTCCTACGGAGAGGAGAGAAACGCCTTCGGCTATGCCACGGCCAGGGGGCCCCTGGCCGGATAAAAGGGCTGCCGCCCCCTGCCGCCGACCCCAGGGGTGTTGGCCCTTGGGCGGCGAATAACCCCGACCAGATATGAAGATATACTACTGGCACTAATGTCTGAGTATTTCAACGTAGTTGTAGATATGAGCAGAGGCCAAAAAGATTGTATGAAGGAATGTATATGTAGCCCTCCGTCATTTCACACATGTTTGATATACTGCGAGGAGCGACAGGGTTGCTTGAAAAGCGATACCACCCCGAAAAGGAGCCCCACTGTGTGGAGCGATAAGGACCTTCAGGAGGGATTCCATGGATGACCACAGAATCAGTACTATGATGTTTAATTCGCTTCTTGCTTCCTGCTATTGCTTGCTCTTGCATCTTGCCTCTTGCTTCTTGTTCCTTCTCCTGCTTTCAAGCGTCTGACTCCATCTCTTGTCATCTTGCTTCGTGCTTGCTAGCTTCTTGCTCCTTCGCTTCTTGCTTCCTGCCATTGCTTGCTCTTGCATCTTGCCTCCTGTTTCTTGTGCCTAACGTTTCTTTCTGAACCGACTCCAAATTGCAGCCTTCAAGCCTCCAAAACCTTGGCCTCGCCCAGGCCTTCGGCTTGCGGCTGCCTGTGCCTAAGGTTTGTTTTTGAACGTCAAGAAACAAGCTCCAAATTGCAGCCTTCAAGCCTCCAAAACCGTGGCCTCGCCACACCGAAACACCATGCAACTGAAGGACGGACCAGGCCTTTGGCCTGCGGCTGCCTGTGCCTGACGTTGTTTTCTGAACCGACAAGCAACTAGCTCCAAATTGCAGCTTTCAAGCCTCCAAAATCTTGGCCTCGCCACACCGAAACACCATGCAAATGAAGGATGGACCAGGCCTGCAGCCTGCGGCTGCCTGTGCCTGACGTTGTTTTCTGAACCGACAAGCAACTAGCTCCAAACTGCAACCTTCAACCCTCCAAAACCTTGGCCTCGCCACACCGAAAAACCATGCAACTGAAGGACGGACCAGGCCTGGCCTGCGGCTTTCTGAGCCGACAAGAAAGTAGCTCCAAATTGCAAGTCTTCAAGCCTCCCAAAACTTTATGCAACTGAAGGATGGACCAAGCCTTCGGCCTGCCGCTGCCTGTGCCTGACGTTGTTTTCTGAACCGACAAGCAACTAGCTCCGAATTGCAGCCTTCAAGCCTCCAAAACCTTAGCCTCGCCACACCGAAACACCATGCAAATGAAGGATGGACCAGGCCTTCGGCCTGCGGCTGCCTGTGCCTGACGTTGTTTTCTAAACCGACAAGAAAGTGGCCTCGCCACACCGAAACACCATGCAACTGAAGGACGGACGAGGCCTTCGGCGCGGCCAACGTTGCTTTCTGAACCGACAAGAAATTAGCCCCACACCGAAAGACAATGCAACTGAAGGATGGGCCAGGCCTTCGGCCTGCGGCTGCCTGTGCCTGACGTTGTTTTCTGAACCGACAAGCAACTAGCTCCAAATTGCAGCTTTCAAGCCTCCAAAACCTTGGCCTCGCCACACCGAAACACCATGCAAATGAAGGATGGACCAGGCCTGCAGCCTGCGGCTGCCTGTGCCTGACGTTGTTTTCTGAACCGACAAGCAACTAGCTCCAAATTGCAGCCTTCAAGCCTCCAAAACCTTGGCCTCGCCACACCGAAACACCATGCAAATGAAGGATGGACCAGGCCTGCAGCCTGCGGCTGCCTGTGCCTGACGTTGTTTTCTGAACCGACAAGCAACTAGCTCCAAATTGCAGCCTTCAAGCCTCCAAAACCTTGGCCTCGCCACACCGAAACACCATGCAAATGAAGGATGGACCAGGCCTGCAGCCTGCGGCTGCCTGTGCCTGACGTTGTTTTCTGAACCGACAAGCAACTAGCTCCAAACTGCAACCTTCAACCCTCCAAAACCTTGGCCTCGCGACACCGGCCTGCGGCTGCCTGTGCTTAACATTGCTTTCCGAACCGACCAGAAACTAGCTCCAAACTGCGGCCTTCAAAACTCCAAAACGGTCGCCTCGCAACACCGAAACACCATGCCGCTGAGGGACCAGGCCTTGCTCTTGTGCGGGCTTCTTGGTCTTCCTTCTTGTATGCTGGCTTCGTCGGCTCGCCGTGACTTTCTTACTCTTATACGATGTTGTCTTTCTTGTGCTTGCTTCTTGCTCTTGCTCCTTGTGTGGTGGCTTCTTGCTTTTTCTGCTGCCTTTCTTGTTCTCACTGTGTGTGTCATGTTTCCGGTTTTCTTGTGTTTCTGGTTTTCTTGTTTCTTGTTTCTTGTTTCCTGGCCTTGTGCCTTTTGCTTTCCGGCCTTCTCGCTCTAGCTTCTGGTTTTTGCCGCTGACTTTCTACTTCTTCCTCCGTGTGTTTCGTGCTCAGGGCTCCAACAATCGATTGATCGTCCACACTTGCTGCTTGTAATGTCTTCTCTGACGCGCTCCCCCTGCCTTGGCTGGGGTTGGCGGATATATAGTGTATATTTTGTATATAGTACGGTAAAAGTACAGTCAAAATGCAGTAAAAGTACAAGTAGGTACAAGGTACCTGACGTGCCATGGCACTACATTACAGTATCCTGCAACAAGAAGTGATCAAATTCACATAATCAACAGTGGCACAGTGCCAGCTGTTCGGGCGCGCACAGTGGACTTCAAGATTATCGAGCAATTGTATCCATAATTAGATTTGTCCGGGTTGTGCTCAGGTATTCCCCGCGAAACTACACGCGTCCAATTACACGCGGATGAGCCTTTTTGCCGGATTTTCATCGGGTCTGATTGCTGCATTGACTAGTTTACCAGAAGAGCTCTCTGAGTGATACAACTCTTGATCTTAGCCGAGGAACTGAAATTCACGCCTTTCAAACTTCAGTGGATTAGAGTCATAAAAGGATTTCAAGCGGTTGTGGTACAAAGCGGCTCAAACCTGTGACAGACCTTTGTTGCTCGTTGCCTCTGGATGGCTCTGGGCCATGAAGCCGGAACTCATTTTGTCCTTCGGTGGCTTTCCGCTCTGGAAGCAGAGCTTTGTCGTGTGTGACCTTCCGCCGCAGGACTCAGGGCTAGAGCGTTTTTGACCCCAAAAATATGGTGAGCGTAACAATTGGAACTTGCATGAATTTTCCAGATACTTAAAATATATGAAATTACAATAAATTATAGTTAGAAGATGTTAGACAGGTTGCTCGCCAAATTTGGGTGCACTTAGAGATCAATGCCCATTTTTGATGACAAGTCGTCCCAAGTCGTCCCAGCCAAGAGTATGTCGAAGGCATGCCGATGGGAGAAGAGGGCACACTGGGCACACGCGAAAAATGGGGAACTCCAATGCACCCCGGGAAGAAAAGTCAAAGGACCTGAAGGACCTGACTGCTTTAGGGTTTTGGATTAAAACTCAAAACGCAATCGACACAATCCTGCTCGGTCTTGCTCCTTTGAGATATTGACCACCAGATAAGACAAATGGCTTTAACCATCTTTAACCCTGTTTTGTCGGACACCTGTGTATAGTTCCACCAGAATGCTTGGAGGAGGGACAGTAAGTAGAAGGCTTGAAATTGAAGCGCCTCTTGTGCTACACAAATCTTGGCAAAAAGTCTTGTGTTCGTGTCTTGCTGCAATGCAGCCCACCTGCCAAACAGTGGGCAATGTGCCGCATTTTCAGTTTCAGGAGGCTTTGCGTGCAGATCCGTTTGTGTTGCTGTCCACGGGCTGCCATGTCAGCTCAAAATGCGCAGCTGTTTTGATTCTATTGTACGCCCCGGAATTTGGGCATTTGTCATGTGTTGCTCCGCATTTGGCACCACTTTCAACTTCCATGACTTCTCTGGATTTCAGGGCCAAAATGAAAACATTTACAGGAAAGAACCCTTTGACTTTAAGAAGCGAGTATGTTAATTTCTTGACTTTCGGAAAGTCTCCATATTGTCTCCTTAAGTCCATATCTCGATTGGTGGCCTGGACCTCAGCGGACTCTGGTGCCGAAAAAATCGACCGCATTGGTTCGAGCTTGCCGATCTGTCCCAGCCAGAGGTTCAATATCGCATTTGGTAGGTCCAAAGAGTCCAAACTCAGTAGAGTGACTCAGCCAGTTGCCGGTATGTTTGCAAATGTGAACGTTGGCCGTCCGTGAACTTATCGTATTTTCTGAGTTCTAAAACAGGGTTGGAGGAGGCTTGTAACATACATACACCAATTATCATTCTGATCTATGCATTGGAACCTACAGCAGCAGATCAAGTGTTTGTGCATTGTTCGCTGTGCTGTTGAGAACAGCACTGATTTCCTTTCTTGAACCAATTACCCATGTATCGCAATGACGTTTTCGTCTTAAAAATCGATGATTGTGGGTGTTTGCAGGTGTATTTTGCTACTCCCAGAATGAGGCGGTCCAGCTGCGCAAATATCTAGCATCCGTCCTGCATTACAGCAGTTGTTGAAGGGAGTTGGATACATGTCTTCAGGGCACATGTTGAATGTTCCCCTGCGCACCATCGATTTTTTGGGATGATACTGGAAACAAAAAAGGGTCCTGGAAGAAAGGTCTACGTAAGATTCTTGGAAAAAAATAAGGTTCCCCTGGTCCTCTCTGTGATTGGTTGGGCTGTCTCCTGTAAGCGGATCCAGATGTGAAACAATCTCATCAAGCACAACTTTATGAATTTGGTGCCCCAAACAAGGATTGGCTCTGTGTTCAGTTTTTGGGTACGTATTGGGGCTTGACCAGTGATGGGGACATTGGCTCAGTAGTTGTGGTGACGGCCTCTTTGCTGATTCGATGTCAATGGCTTGCAGACATTCTTAATGTTTATGCGACCCACATGCAAGCTGCTTGCAGAAACAGTTGTTCTTGAACGCAAACATGTATTGCAAACATCACGGGAAAATGCTGAAGAGGTAACCGACTCCTAGACCAAACCGTCCACAGGTGCACATCCACACACTCACAGGAACTCGCAGGGATTACACACAGATTCTTCACACGGATTCTTCAATTTGTAGACGCCCCAACGACAGTGCTGCGATGGAGCTCGCGCTGGCTCAGCTGACAGCCCTGCTGCTTATTGGGTTTGGGCACTGTGCCAGTCCGTGATGCTCAGCTTGCAAAGAGATTTAGCAAATTTTAGCAATTTCCACCTTTACTAATCTTTACTGATCTGTATTACTAATCTTTATTAACCTTTACTTATCTATTTTTTAAAACCAATCTTTACTAATCTTTGTAATCTGCACTGATTTTTTACTCATCTTTACTAATCTTTATTCTTCACTAATCTTCACCTTTTTCTTCCCAATCTTTACTAGTCTTTACTAATCTTTACTCATCTTTACTAATCCGTACTAATCTTCACTAATCTTTTTATCAATTGTCTTAGGAAGTTCATGAGGGCAACTTCACTCTTTTGGTGATGGTCGGAGGTTGAAATCTCCCGGTGAGATCTAGAGGTAGCTTGAACAGATGCATAGCTTTGGGAGGGCCATAGCCCTAAGAACATTGGAGTAGCTTGTATATGAAGACGGAACACTCTGTCAAATAGAATTGCAGCGCGAAGCTTGGCTTTGAAGATGAGTTGGGGTTTTGCAAGGACAAAATCGGTACAGTGGAAGAATGTGTGAGACCTGAGGTTGGTCGGGAGATTTTAGCTTTGCTCGCTGCTGTTTGGTGGACAGCCCTCAGGAGCGCAAGTGTTGGTCGATCCGGTCTGCAAAATGATATTGTAATCATTTGCAAAAGAATTTCAACTCCAAGAAGAATTTGGGAAGTTTGGTGTTAAAGCAGGTGGTCCGTGGGAAGATCTTCCTCAAATACTCGAATACCCAAGTCCTGAAAACCTAGAGTATCTAGAGTATCTAGAGTCCTGTCTTGTGTTCAATATGTGACAGATGTGCATTTTTCCCGCTGAGCGCTGTCAGTGCTGGGGCGGAGCCTTTTCCTACGAGAGATGTTGTCGGCAGACTCCCTTGCTCTCAGCACCCGAGGCAGGAAGCCATGAGTGATACAGGACCTGGCATAGACTCGATAGACCCCTGCAAGTGGGACAGCAGTCAGAAGACAGAAGATAAGGATGTCAGGTTGCCGCCAAGCTTTTCATCCACGATTTTCACTTGAACTGTCTGAGGTTGACAGCAATGAAATGTTGTTTAACTGTATTCTCACTGCATGGCGCATCATTCTTGTTGATCGGGATGTCTAGAAAGACTTCAGAGGAGAGCAATGTTCGGAGCAGCAACTAAATGTGTTTCCAATGATTCCCAGCGTTTCCAGCTTGCAAGCCATCTTCTTTGTGATTGCTCCTTCGTCCTTTGTGATTACCTTACCTAATGATGGCTATGATCCGGTCACCTGTTTATCCCTTTGATTTGAGAGTGACTCGAAAGAGCAAGTCCGATGCCGAAAAGGTCAAAAGGTCTGCAAAGAGGGAATGGTCGGGCCCGTTCAAATTTGTTAAGGAGCAGGGCAGACAAGGGTTCGCATGCAGGAAGCTTTGTTGGATTGATTCCATGCTGTATTCTAGGGGGACTTCAGTTGTGATCTACGAAGCCAAGTTTGCTCTATTGCTTTTTAGTTCCATGAAGCTCCTGCGAATCGGTCTGCTCAAAGGCGAACGAGGTTCTCAAAAGTGGAGAGGTTTTTGCCTCCGCAGGTCGAGAGCGTCAAGAAGCTGAAGGGCGAGGTGCAAACGTGTTCAGGAAGGGTATGCTGAGACTATGAGGCTACACTTGCATTATTGGATGCGTATGCACATCATGCAAATATTTGCATGATTAAAACATGTGAACATGCATATTCCTGTAGCGATGAAAGTTTCGTCAATTCCCTGGACCGACTACTTAAATAAATACTGCATGATGCCTCACACCGCTGAGTCATAGCAGCGAGTTGTGGCGATTTTGTGGGGTGTTCAGGGAAATAGTTGCTGCTGTGTTCTGAAGCTTCCCCATCCATCAGCAGGATGGGGGCAGTTTTGTGCCCATTGAAAGAAGTGTCGTTTTCCTAGTGCCGCTGGTAGTGACCTCATAGGAAAAAAATGTTTTTCTTTATCTTGGTGCTGGGGCGTTGGGTGGCGTGGGGCCAATATTTGATGCTACCGTACTGATTCTTTTTTCACATGGCATGTTTTGCTACAACACTTACAGAGGCGCGTTTGAGGCTACGCTACTGACTTTGCACACACAATTTTTTGGCACCAAGGGGAAACAACAACCCCAAGCTATCGCTATTGGGGGGAAAAAGTGCCCCAATGACTTCATATTTTTGACAACGTGTCCAATCTGGCTGGATGACACGTTGTTGTGCAAATGAGGAAGCCACATTTAAAGCAGTACATCTTCCAATGGTCCTGGAAAGTGGCCGAAACTCGAGCTGCAGAACTTTTTGGAAGCACTTGAACAAGTAACTTCTCTAACAGCAAGGTGAAGAAATAGCCGGGAAATGTTAGTTTAGGTTTAGGGGATTAAAATAAGGGTAACAAGTTGTTTCGCTGTACGAAATGACCATTTGGGAACTTTCCGCATCGGATTTCCAATCCAAAACGCATGTGCCATGCAGTACCACAAGGCATATTGGAATTCAAGCGTCCAAAGACCAAAGAACATGTATACAAAATGCAACCGTCTAGGGGCCGTTCTCCGTCGTGTTATGTTTAGGTCTCTTTCTTGTCTTGTCCAGGGATCCATGCTACCTCCATTCAAACCTTGGGATTGGAACTTGATGGTCAGGCCCTGAACTGCGGCTGTTCCAAGCCTGCATCTTGATGCACGAAGCCGGAACGTGAACAGATTTGACTTGAACGTGTATCCATATATCCATACATATCCGTATATATCCGTACATATACATACATATCAATATATACAAATAAATACATATACATATATACATATACATACATATAGGTACATATAAATACATATACAGATAAATGCATTTAAATATATTGAAATACATTTAAACACATTAACATAGAAATGCATAAATAGATATAGAAGGATATAAATGCCCATAAATTACATGTAAGTACGTTTAAATGCATAAACATAAATACAGATACATATACACACATACATACATATATTTTTATACATACATACATACATACATGCATGCATGCATGCATGCATATATTTTTTTGTATATGTACATATTTACATATTTGCATATCTACATATTTGCATATATACATGCATATATAGATATATACATGTATACATATATACATATATTCATGTATAACTATATACACATCTATACATATATATATATACATATACATATATACGTATACTTGCATGTATATACATATATATATACATATATGTATACTTGGATATATATCTATACATTCATATATATATATACATATACAGTATACATAATATCGATACACATAAATCTGTAAGCATTTTTTCTTTTGCATTGATTGCACGATTGATTTTTACATTTTTTGTTTTACTTGAGATATGTTGTGTAGGTCCAAAAAATGATGCCCTTTTTGACCAAGGGAACCACAAACTGTTCCTGGATAGCAACACGATCATCATTTGTACTTGCATTAAATATGTATAATGTATGGCGCTTATGTCGTGAGTTTTTTGTTGCAACTGCAAAACACTTTCGTTCAGGACGAATGTCCTTTAACAGATGGTGTATTAGCAATCTTTCGAACGTGATTTGATCAGAATATGAGAGCATCATTATATATTTCTTTCATGTCGAATGATGGGATCAGCTGTTGGGTTTCATCGTTCTAGACGTGTCAGCGAGTTTTTGTTTAGAGCTGTTTGCTGCAGAGGTGGATTCACAAAGATAAAGTCCGTCATAGCTGGTGCATTGCTACATGTGTCAAGCGTGCGTGATGCATGCTTCCCGCATCGAATGCAAGAAAACGGATGTTTGTTTCATTGTTTGCCATGTGGACGTGATTTTGCAGCATGTTTGCATTTAACGGCAGAGAGACTTAGGATTTGAGCCACCCAGCCTTTGAGGGAGGTCCATTTACGTGGTGCAGCTTGGACCGACGTGCGGAGGAAGGTGGCCTTTGTTTTAGAGCTATGGGGGGGGGACCTTGTTTTGGTAAAAAAATATCGAATATTCCGAATATTGCATTGTGTTCGAAGTGAAGTACTTACAGAGCCTAAGCGAGAGTTTTATTTTGACATCGCACTTCACCTGTTATGGGTGGATGATGTGGATGACGCCCCAGGTAAGTTTTACCAAGCCATCATGCTGAATCAGGACTCCGACTGTTCGATGTGAGCCCGTACAAATATCTTCAAGTCTTGGATCCTACAAATGTTCTGTGAAATCAGTCAACTTTGAGATTCATCTGTCGGTTTTCAAGGTCAACCATAGTCTTCAGTCTTCCTGGGTCTCTTTACGTCGTTGATGTTTTGTCGCCGTTACTGTCATTCTTTGATGAGCCACATGACACGCCCAGAAAGGCAGCAGATTCAAGAATAGCTTTCCAAAGGAACTCAAATGTGAAGTCATTCCACAAATGATTAATGATTGCCTGTGATTCCTTTAAACAAATTTGTCCTCACCAACATGCAGAGTTGGGTACACGAATGGATGAAACACACATGGAAAACACAGGAATATATACACATACAGAGTCTTATGTTTTGGTCACTGCATCTACAAACATTCCTGGAAGCTTCACTTTGCACCAGTCGGGCAGCTGATTTTCTTTCCAGTAACAGCAAGGGTGGCCGAAAAAAAATCACACAGATTTCGAGTCGTTTCGAGTTCCCAATTTCTGAATTTGCTGCTTGGATCGCCAGGATTTGCGGCCTTTTTACATGCCTTTTCTAGAACTGTCAGTTGAAATGCTGGCCGCCTGCCCCTTGGGCAGCTTAGCGATGCTCCTGCTGGACGCCTCCTTGAAGATGTCTGTCAAGGCTGGCCTTGGGGCCTTGGGAGGTCCAACACGGTCCAACTGGAGATCGCGTGAAGATTCGAAGAACACGATCCGCGGTCAAGTTTTCAGATACAACAATTCATACCATATCATAAAAAATCCCGGGTGGGAAACTGTGCTAGCGGTTGAGCACGTTTTCGAAAAAAGCGCTTGCTGTTGTGGCGCCGTGCACATTTTATGATCAACTTTGCCATAAATTTTGTTGGGCAAAATCAAATTATTTTCAAGGGAAAGGCCATCGCTTCGGAACGCGACCAAACGTATCCAAACACATCGCTTCGGAACGCGGTCAAACGCATCGCTTTGTAACCCGCCTGATCATCATCATCATCATCATCATCAACAACTACCCGGAAGGTGGGGGGAATTCAGACTTTTGCTGTCCTGCCGTGTCTTCTTGTCCGTGTCTTCTGCTGTTCTTTGGGTTTCTTGGGGTTGGCTTGCTTCTCTCCTTTGTCCGTTGTCTTGTCTTACCGTGCTGCTTGCCCGGTTTTTTTCCTCGCCCTCAATTGTGCTAGCTGCTAAAACCTCGCTTGCTGTCCTTTTCTGCTCTGTCAGTCTCTGTTTGGCGGAAGTTTCCCTGAGAAGTTTAACTTGTGTGTGAAGTTTTGACTTCTCGCGTTTTTTCCTTTGCGCATGATGTGAACCCTAACCCCCCCCACCCCCCACAAAGCCCAAAAGGATCCAAAAGGTAGAGCCAGAGTGACTGTCAGGATTGGCAACGTACAGTTTGTGTGGCAGGCGTGGCAGTTGGTGACATCGACGTCCATCTTGTGTGGCAGGCGTGGCGCTTGGTGACATCGACCTTCATTTATTCCAACACCCTGAAGCGTCAACAGTCGTGAACCCTAACCCCCCCAAAAGCCTAAAAGGTAGAACCATTGTTACGAACCGTAAACCGCGCCCCCTGTGACTGGAAGAGCGGATGGCAGCGATGTTCTTTCCCAAAGGTTCTTGGATCACACTCCCACCAGAGTATGATGGATCTGATCACAAACCAGGCTTACAAGCACCCACGATAGCACACCGATTTTCCGTATGGCGCACGGATCGTAGATGGATGGTACAAAAGGGCAGACCGCTTGAATGGCAACGGTCGGTTACATGCAAAGACAAGTACTTGAGGCAACTGGATGATCAAACACAAAGCAAACACACGTCAAAATTCACACCGATCAAAATTTTCTCTTGCCTCAAGACTCGTTTCAGTGGCCAGATACCAGAGGCAGTAAAGAGCATACATCTCTGGATTTTGCTTGGACTGTTTCAAAGCTCGGACTCTTTTGGCGGACTGATAGGACGGATCATAAACGATTCTCCACATGCTTTCCTGAAGTGCTCGAATAAGACCTTCATGTTGCCAGGCTTTGTCAGAGCATCTGACATCTGTTGGTCACTGTTGACCCATCGTAGGTCCACCAGGGCTTGTTGCAATCTCTGCTTGATGGCCAGTAGTTCTATGGCAGTCCTCTTTTCTTCTGCAAACCTGCAGTCTCAATTTTACAAACAGCATCAAACACATTCTTCGCATCAACAATCATGCATGTTTTCCAACGACTAAAAAACAGATCCAAGTTAGCGAGGACTAAAGGTTTGGGACTCTCCAGTTCCAAGAGCGACAACTTGATAAACTCATGAAGATCCAAGGCATTGGCACACATTTGTGTCTCCGCACTAGTGGATGATCGAGCCACTCTTTTCAAACGACGGCTACTCCATGAAATCACATGAAAAGGGGTTTTACAACCACTCAGAGCTCCTTCTTCCATTAACAAGGTGATTTGACCCCCCTGTGAGCTACTATCGTGCCGCGTGGCCCAACTGGCATCAGTGAAAGTGACAAGAGTGCATTTGTTTTTCATGGGCGGAAAATAAAGACCCTGATCAAAATATTTACGATTCAAACGAATGAGTTTGTTGACCAACAACAGATCTGAAACCATTCCGCTCTCCACGCACCCTTGCAGAAGAGACACTGTTGCCAACATCCAAGGTGCCGTTTGAGTAGCCCGCCAGTTTTAAGGGTCCGAGCCGCTGTCTGATCTCAGTCCTTTCCTGAGTAGAGATTGGATCTTGAGTTTGTGCACGTCGTTCCTGAGAAAGGACAATGTCTGAGATCTCCTGGGAAAAACGTTCTTGTTTTATCTGAATCCCAAAATTCTGGTCCTGACGAATTTCACAACCACAATAAGTCAGGGTAGTTTCTGAGCATTGTCCCATGAAAGCAGCTTCATATTCAGCACCCGAACCCGTGGTAATGACATCATCCGCATGAATACCAAGATAACCAACCACCTCACCTTCATTAACAATTTTGAAAAGACACTGGTCTAATTGATGTTGAATCCAACCATCACTCCGCAGAAAGAACAAAGTGACGCATTCCACGCTTTAGGTGCATTAAGGAGGCCATAAATCGCCTTGGCAATTCGCAAAATCTGAGTTGGGGTCATTTGAAGATGAGCTCGGACTTCCGGTGGTGGCAAGCCGTAAATTTCCTCATCAAGTTCAGACCGCTCACCTTGCTAAAAGGCAGTCTTTATATCTCCGGCACACAACTGAGTTCGGTTTCTACTAGCTGCAGAGACTAAGAGATTGCGGCCCATGGTGGACAGAGTTGGGGCCTCACGAGGCAAATCTACCAGCTGCGGATCCTGGAATCCCTTGATGATAAGTCGAGACTTCGCTCGCTTACCAGAAATTTCACCAGCCGAATTAGTGTCTACTGTCCATGTATGAACCCAGCGCATTTGCATCACTCTCTCTGGAGGAATTCCATGAGACTCACAGATCCGAACAGCTTCACTGGAAACATACGAATCAATCTCCTTCTTGATCGCACGATCAAACTCCGCTTGATCCTCCTTTGAGAGTTTTCGATACACTACCTCGGCATTTTTCTTGACCTTTTGATTTACAACCCAGACCCCGCGTTGAGAGTGGATGTCACGAGGGGCAATTTGAAACTCCATTTCAACAACAGCAGCAGAACCAACCAAAGCAGCAAAATCACAACGCTGATTACCAACACCAACTTCGGAAGCAACAGTCAAGAAAGCTTGATTGAAGTTCAAAGCCTTGGCTATTCTACAACGCTGAGTTCCTACCTGCCTCTCAATTGTGCTCTGGAGCGCTGCTGCGGCGGCCTTCGACTTCATGACGGACAGGATCTCCTGGAGGACACCCTCCACCTGGTTCATGCGATGGTGCAGTCCTTCGACTTGGTCCAGACGAGAAGAGACTTGCATCAGCTCCCCTTCCAAAATCTCCAGTTTCGTGGTCTCCACCGGATCCCATTCCCCGCTCATCTCGCTCGTCAGGTCCATGGGAATCTTGGTCTCCAGGGCCTTGTCCGGGAGATGGGTGTGACGCGCGGTCTTCGCCTTGTCCCTCACGGAGCTCACTGGCATCTTTGGATGGTCGCCGCTTTCGTTGGCCTCCTACTCCTGACCTTCCACCTCCAACCTGCGGCGCAGTAGCGTAGCATCACTTGGGTGTGCAAGCAACCTGAACGTTATTGCCCCACCCCACCCCACAAAACCCAAAGCTATGGCGTAGCTGTATCATAGCATCACTTGAGTGTGCAAGTAACTTGTACGTTATTGCCCCACCCCACCCAAACCCCGAGCCATGATGTAGCTGTAGCGTAACATCACTTGAGTGTGCAAGTAACTTGTACGTTATTGCACCACCCCACCCAAATGAGGTAGCTGTATCGTAGCGTCACTTGAGCGTGCAAGTAACTTGAACGTTGTTGCCCCACCCAAGCATTTTGCATCTCTTAAGACTCTAGTTGTGGGATTTCTTGAGAGGGCAAACATGTGCAAAACGCCCTTCTAACTTCAGGGGCTGTGAGCTCAGGGTCAGTTCGGCCTGGTTGCAAAACCATCTGGTGAAGCAGTGCAAAACTGTCAACATAAATGCCTTAATCAGCCTTATCTAATTTTCCAGAATGTTGTGGGCTGTTCCACAGTGCTCTCAGTTTATTGCAAACTTTGTGTCCAACTTTGTCCCACTTTTGTCTCTATTCTCTCCCACTTCGTCTACCGCTTTGTATCTCACTTTGTCTCCAACATTGTCTCCCAGCTTGTCTCCCGCTTTTTGTGCCTTCCACGATTCCACTATGTCACCCTCTTTCTCTCTCTTCTCTCTGTCTTGTTCTGTCTCTCACTTTGTCTCTCGCTTTGTCTCCCACGTTGTCTCCCAGCTTGTTTCGAAGTTTGTCTCTCGCTTTTTCTCCCACTTTGTCTCCCAGCATGTCTCATCTCCTTGTTTGTGTCTAACACTTTGTTTTCCACTTTGTTTCCCGCTTTGTCTCCTACTATGTTTCACCTTATGTCTCCCACTGTATCTCCCAGGATCTTTGTCTCCTATGTGTCTCCGACTTAGTACCCCACTTCGTCTTGCACTTTGTCTCCCAGCTTGTGTCCCACTTTATCCCCTACCTCCTTTTCCACCATGCCGCCCATTTTGTTTCTCACTTTGTGTCTCCCACTTTGTCCCCCGTTTTGCCTCCTGGTTGCCCATTTGTCGCACTTTGTCTCAAACTTTGTCTCGAGCTGTGTCTCCCACTTTATATCTTACTTTGTCTTAAACTCTTTTCCCCACTTTGCCTCCCACTGTGTCGCCCACTTTGTCTGTCAATGCAGAGAAATGTAGCCCAAACATGGACGCTAGTCGGGAACGCTCTCCCCTTGAATTTGGAACCGTCAGTGCTGCTGTTGGGTTGCAGAGCTGGGATTTGCCATCAGGTTTTTGAGGCGGTCGCTGCTTTTTTCACGGGTTTGCACACGCACACACACACTCTGCCAGGAACCACCACAGCTGGCCCAGATGCCAAGTTTCCTTCGGTGCCCAAGGGATGGAAAGGGACTAATAGCCCTTGGCTGTTTTGGACCGCCAACTGTGTTCAGTTTCGAAACAGAGGGCATTTGAAGGCAGTATATATCGCATTCAACTCTCAAAGGGGCTCTATCAAGTTTCATTTGCAGCATTTGCAAGACATTTTTTCCAAAAACTTATCCCCTCATTGTTACTATGTTGCCCCACATTGCCTTAGCATGTCTTGTGCATTTCGCATCAACTCATTTCGGTTAAGATCCCTCGACAGGGCGCAGGAGATTCTGCAACTCATCTTGGATTCTGGCGTTCCTTTGAGCCTTTTCCAAAGAAGTCGGTTTTGCCCAAGATGCGTTGGAAGTTGAAAACCAGACGATGAATTGCGAGTGAAGGGAAGAAGCAACATTTGAAAACGCACATATTTCATGTACAATACACCTCATTCTTTCCAGGGCTGAGGATTTTGCAGCTGACATCTTTTTATATTGGCGATGTCATTAGATACGTGTCCATGCTGTGAATTTGGGGTTTGTTGACCTCTCCCAGGATGGAGGTCACAACCTCCGGCTGGATGGTTTTCAATCAGGTGTCCGGGGAGGGTACCGTACTATTGGATTTTGTGCGGCTATACCTTTCATAGGAAACTAAGAAGTATGCCATACGGATCACATGATTTTTTGCTGCGATTTCGGGATGCAGATTTTACCTCTCACAACGCTGTGATTGCCCCAGAGCCCCCGAAACAGCTGGGCACAGTGCTTGGTCATTGATTTGTTTGCTGCAAATCATGAACATCCACAACAACTTTGTCACTGGAATGTAGCGGCGTCAAGCAATTTCAGCAACATGTAGGAATCCATCAACTGCATCTTGATTTGACCGGCAATGGCTAATTATGGAATCATGCTACGATTGCTCCTTTTGGACATCAGAAGCACCACCGGCACACTTTCACGGATGCTGACCCCTACAAGTAATCAATGCTTCCCATCAAGTGAACTTTGGTGAAGGGAAAGCCCTTGTTTTGACTGAGAAGAGATTTGCACACGCAGAATACCTTCACACTATTTCACACTTCCAAATTCTGCAAGGGCAATGCAGAGCAATGCAGGTAAGTGTGCTCCGTTCAGCTGCGCAGCGCCGTGGGCACGATTTGGACCTGACTGGAAGCTGTATGCAGATGCCAGCACCAGAAAGCCTCTCTGCGAGGACCCACTGTCAAGTCTGTCGGCATTTGGATTTTGCAGTCGGCAGTAAAGAGCCAGTCTGCAGGTAGATTTTGTGCTGGTTTCTACCACCACAGCCAAAGGATTTTGCAGACCATGATGGAGGGTATTAACTTCCTCCCGGTAGGCCCGGGTTCATCTAGGTTTCTTGTAGTTGTGATGTTGTGAACATGTTTGACCATAATGCTGAGAGTTTGAAATAGAAGACTTTCCTGCCATGTGTAGTCGTTAAATCGTTAGGTGGGTTTGTCAAGCTGAAGAGACAGATGTCCATGTTTAGTTCCAGTGCAGAGACGATTAAGCATGATAGTCACAGCACATGCAGCACAGTCTTGGAGGTGCAGAGTCAGTAGACACGGGCCTTGCTCTGGCAGATCCCGGACCAAAAATGTAGTGTGCTTTGGTGCATTGGTGTTTTGCGTTGCAGGTACCCCTTCGATCTTACAGCTCTTCCTAAAAGATTCTGATGCAGCTGGCGCCGCTATGTCCATGCCAACATGCCCATTGGTGGGCCCTGCAATGTATTTGTCACTTCGCGCTTAAAAAAAAAGGGTTTATGGTGAGAGATGGTTCTTATGCAGCATCATGATGACATACTGACATACTGCCATTATTGCTGCGTGAGGTTATTGGCGTATTCCAACCTTCAGCAAACTGCTCCCGATCAAGCGCAACTTCATGTTCCAGGATACGCAGCAGTGTTCCACATCCGGCTGCACATCCAGCTGCACATGGATCACACTAATGCCTCAATATTGTCTTTGTGGAACAAAATCATGTAGTATCCAGTATCCCACATATGCTTCCTAAACTGCACGAGTTCGAAGCACAAAGCGTTGCATTGTTACGACTTGAAACTGAACCTATGTGCCCATGCTTTTGTTGCTAGCGGTGACCTGGAATGGAGGTTGTAGGCTTGTCCGAATGAACCCTGTTTAGTTTTCCTTTATCTGGATTTGTCACGTGGTGAGGGGCATTGTGTTTTGTCCTGATCTACAGAAGTATCATTTGTAGGTCCTTCCTGGGTGGGTTTTCAGGATGTGAAATGTCAATTTCAAGACTTGCGTGAAGAGTAAAGATCATATCAAACCTGACATCAAGTATCGCTTTGGAAACTGAACTAAATATCTGAATAGCGACTTCAAATCAGTTTGACCTCTTCAGACCCCCATGCTCAGGAGCGCCAGCAAGTCCCAAGGACTTTAGGGAGCGGCTTGTGGTGGAGTAGGAAGCATATAGAGGTGAACGAAGCAAATTTGTTGCGCCAAGCCCCTTTTGTTGCTGGACTCATTCCTGTGTTGGTGGGCACAGAAACATCTGGGATGGCTGCCGATGCATCATGGCTTCGCTTGTTTAATCAAAGGTGATGAATGGAAAGTGCAGCCCCAGGCTTGCAAGATTTCTTTAGCCTCAGACCAGGGTAGTTCAAAACAATTATTTGCTCCTTTTTTGCCTGATTTTTTTTTTCATTTGCGCTAGTCATGTCTTGTCATTGTTGATTATGTTGTTCTTGTTGTGCTGGATGTTTGTCCATTTTTGGTTGCTTTTCATTTGCTGCTGTGCTACTTTGTCATGTTCGTAGTGCTTTGGTCCTGTGTTTTCCCTTTGTCAGTCATGTTTTTGGCATTTTTCGCTGCAGGATTGCTTCCTTAGATGTTGTTCTGTGGTCGTACCTGGTAGTTGTTTTTCTTGCTTTGTGCTTAGTATTTGTTTTTGTCCTTTTGGGCGTGTTTATGGTTCAGCCAGTCGTTTGATCATGTTTGCCTAGCATATTCCTTTGGTGTTTGTCAGCGTGATTTTCAAATATATAGAAAAAATCAAGTATGACCAACAGTAGGATTATGTATATATATATAATTGTATATATATATAATTGTATATATATATACATATATGTATGTATGTATGTATGTATGTATGTGGGATATATATACACATACACGTATCAGAACAGAATTCTACCGTGATTAATTGCCACCAGCAACCTAACCACGGCAATGACACCATTGAGACACAAGCCAGCAAAAACACGAGAAAACCCAAGAACTGAATGAATAGAGTAATACCTGCAGCAGTGCACGGGGAAGATATGGTAATGCCAGAAAAAAGAGCACAAAGATGGAGAAAAATGGACCCAGCTGACGAACATCAATGCAAGAAAAAGGAGACAAGGGATATGTGAAGAACAAGGATGAAAGACAAAACAATGACCAAGGCAAATGACCAAACAATTTCCAAAATACCAAATCGTTATTTTGTTACTTTCCAGTCTGGGGCTACAAGAACCTTGCGTCTAGGCAAGAACAATTCCAGGGTACAACCCGCACATGGTAGCAGGATGAGGCGGAATTCATGATCAGGCTTGGAGACCAAAAATTACGCGGCTTGGCAGCTTGGTAGATTGAACATGTTGTAAGCTGTGTTTTAAAGTGCGAAGCTTGATCATGAATCATGATATATAAATATATATGTTTGTATGTATGTATGTGTATCATGTATGTCTGTATGTATGTCTGTATGGATGTATGTATGCATGGATGGATGTATGGGATGTATGGGGTGTATGGGATGTATGGGATGTATGGTATGTGGGGTATGTATGGTATGTATGGTACGTATGGTATGTATGGTATGTATGGTATGTATGGTATGTATGTAATGTATGTAATGTATGTAATGTATGTAATGTATGTAATGTATGTATTGTATGTATTGTATGTATTGTATGTATTGTATGTATGGTATGTACGGTATGTACGGTATGTACGGCATGTATGGTATGTATGGTGTTTATGGTATGTATGGTATGTATGGTTTGTATGGTATGTATGTTTTGTATGGTATGTATGTTATGTATGGTATGTATGGTATGTATGCTATGTATGCTATGTATGGTATGTATGCTATATATATGGTATGTATGCTATGTATGGAATGTATGGTAGGTATGGTATTTATCATATGTATGGTATGTTATGTTATGCAATGCTATGGTATGTTATGTTATGGTATGTCATGTATGTCATGTATGTATGTATTGTATTGTAATGTAATGTAATGTTATGTAATGTAATGTATGTATGGCATGGTATTGTATGGTATGGTATGGTATTGTATTGTATTGTATTGTGTGTATGTATGTATGTTGGTATGGTATGGTATGGTATGGTATGGTATGGTATGGTATGGTATGGTATGGTACGTATGTAAGTGTGTATGTATGTATGTATTTATGTATTTCTGTTTGTCTGTCTGTCTGTCTGGCTGGCTGTCTGGCTGTCTGTCTGTCTGTCTGTGTGTATGTATGCATGCATGCATGTATGTAATGTAACATATGTATGTATGTATGTAGACATTATATATATATCAGTATGTATGCATGTATGTATTTATGTATGTATGTATGTATGTATACATTGTATATATATCAGTATGTATGCATGGATGTATGTATGTATGCATGTATGTATGCATGCATGCATGCATGCATGCATGCATGTATGTATGTATGTATGTATGTATGTATACATTATATATATATCAGTATGTATGTATGGATGTATGTATGTATGCATGCATGCATGTATGTATGTATGTATGTATGTATACATTGTATATATATATATCAGTTGGTATGGATTTGGACATGTCGTCTCGAAGTATGATATGTGATAGTTTTGGGCTGTCTGCTGCGATTTACTGTGTATCAACATTCGGGACTGTATGACTCCTCTAAGGATGTTGTGCAATGGCATATTGTAGAGCTTCGCACACCGGCGATGCCATAAGGGTTATGTATAGTAGTGTGGGCGTTGGTGTTGTTCATGTGCTCTGTGCGTTCACGCAGGTGCAGAGCACAGTGTGATGTTCTTTTTATACCGCAGCTTGCAACCATCTTACCACACATCTTTTTGTTGCATTTGTGTGCTTGTTCTTCTTCTTCTTCTTGTTGCTGTTGCTGTTGCTGTTGCTGTTGCTGTTGCTGTTCTTCTTCTTCTTCTTCTTCTCCTTCTTCTTGCAACACATCGTATTTTCGCATTTTTGTGGCCCCCTAAAAATTATCACTTAGGTTTTGTTTTCGCGTTTTTTTAACATTCTCGGGGCAGAAAAACACCGCAAACACCGATGTTTTTAGTGTCTCGGAAGCCAAAAACCACGGTATTTACACTGTTTTTTTTTTTTGGCCTCGGGCAGCGAAAATCACAGTATTTACAGTGTTTCTGGGCCCGCGCCTAGCAAAACACTGCAATTATGCAGTTTTCAGCATGTTGCAAGAAGATTTTTCCCGAGAGCGTCTGAGCGCAGGGTTCTTCCAATAGTGGAGGTCTGTATCTCATCTTCTCATCTTCACACCTTCTCATCTTCACATCTTCTCTCACACCTTCTCATCTTCACATCTTCTCTCACACCTTCTCATCTTCACACCTTCTCATCTTCACATCTTCTCTCACACCTTCTCATCTTCAGTCTTCTCTCACACCTTCTCATCTTCACACCTTCTCATCTTCACATCTTCTCTCACACCTTCTCATCTTCACACCTTCTCATCTTCGCATCTTCTCTCACACCTTCTCATCTTCACATCTTCTCTCACACCTTCTCATCTTCACATCTTCTCTCACACCTTCTCATCTTCACACCTTCTCTCACACCTTCTTATCTTCACATCTTCTCTCACACCTTCTCATCTTCACATCTTCTCTCCCACCTTCTCATCTTCACATCTTCTCTCACACCTTCTCATCTTCACATCTTCTCTCACACCTTCTCATCTTCACATCTTCTCTCACACCTTCTCATCTTCACACCTTCTCATCTTCACACCTTCTCTCACACCTTCTCATCTTCACATCTTCTCTCTCTCTCACTCTCTCTCCTCTTTCCTCTCTCCTTTCTCTCTCTCCTTTCTCTCTCTCCTTTCTCTCTCTCCTTTCTCTCTCCCTTTTCTCTCTCTCGCCTTCTTTATCTTTCTCTCTTTAGGCCGAGGGTGGTGCCGGCGGGGAGTCACGAAACGTCAACCCTTTCGCACGAAATGAGGGTCGATCGGCAAAAACTGAGGTAAAATTGCGATTTGACTTGTCCTGGAGCAACCCTTTCGCACGAAATGAGGGTCGATCGGCAAAAACTGAGGTAAAATTGCGATTTGACTTGTCCCGGAGCAACCCTTTCGCACGAAATGAGGGTCGATCGGCAAAAACTGAGGTAAAATTGCGATTTGACGATTTGACTTGCCCCGGAGCAACCCTTTCGCACGAAATGAGGGTCGATCGGCAAAAACTGAGGTAAAATTGCGATTTGACTTGTCCCGGAGCAACCCTTTCGCACGAAATGAGGGTCGATCGGCAAAAACTGAGGTAAAATTGCGATTTGACTTGTCCTGGAGCAACCCTTTCGCACGAAATGATGGTCGATCGGCAAAAACTGAGGTAAAATTGCGATTTGACTTGCCCCGGAGCAACCCTTTCGCACGAAATGAGGGTCGATCGGCAAAAACTGAGGTAAAATTACGATTTTACCTGTGCCGGAGCAACCGTTTCGCACGAAATGATGGTCGATCGGCAAAAACTGAGGTAAAATTGCGATTTTACCTGTGCCGGAGCAACCCTTTCGCACGAAATGAGGGTCGATCGGCAAAAACTGAGGTAAAATTGCGATTTTTCGTGTGCTGGAGCAACCCTTTCGCACGAATTGAGGGTCGATCGGCAAAAACTGAGGTAAAATTGCGATTTTTCGTGTACTGGAGTAATCCTTTCGCAGGAAAAGGGGTTTGTGTGTACGAGCGTTTCTGTGTAAAGGTGTTTGTGTGTAAAAGTGTTTGTGTGTACAAGTGCATCTGTGTAAAAGTGTTGTGTGTAAAACCTTCTGTGTGTAAAAGTCTTTGTGTGTAAACGGGTTTGTGTGTACGAGTGTTTCAGTGTAAAGATGTTGGTGTGTATAAGTGATTGTATGTAAAATTCCATCTGTTTAAACGTGATTGTGTGTAAAAGCTAAATTGCGATTTTTCGTGTGCCGGAGCAACCCTTTCGCACGAAATGATGGTCGATCGGCAAAAACTGAGGTAAAATTGCGATTTTTCGTGTGCTGGAGTAACTTTTTCGCACGCAAAGAGGTTTATGTGTACGAGCGTTTCTGTGTAGAGATGTTTGTGTGTAAAAGTGTTTGTGTGTACAAGTGCATCTGTGTAAAAGTGTTGTGTGTAAAACCTTCTGTGTGTAAAAGTCTTTGTGTGTAAACGGGTTTGTGTGTACGAGTGTTTCTGTGTAAAGATGTTGGTGTGTATAAGTGATTGTATGTAAAATTCCATCTGTTTAAACGTGATTGTGTGTAAAAGCTTCTGTGTGTAAAACGTGTTTGTGTGTAAACGTGTTTGTGTGTTGGAGTGTTTCGGTGTAAAGATGTTTGTGTGTAAAAGTGTTTGTGTGTACAAGTGCATCTGTGTAAAAGCAATTGTGTGTCAAAGCTTTTGTGTGTAAAAGTGTCTCTTTGTAAAAGGGTTTGTGTGTAAGAGTGTTTCTGTGTAAAGATGTTTGTGTGTAAAAGTGTTTGCGTGTAGAAGTGCATCTGTGTAGAAGTGTCTGTGTGTAAAAGCTTTTGTGTGTAAAAGTGTCTGTGTGTAAAAGGGTTTGTGTCTTAAAGCGTCTCTGTGTAAAATGGTGTGTGTGCACCAGGGTTTCTGTGTAACAGGTGTTTCTGTGTGACAGGGGCAATGTGTGTGTGTGTGTAAAAGCAGCCTTGCTTACATGTTTTGTTTTCTTGCCCCGTTGCTTCTTTGGCGTGTTTGTTTTCCGGTCATCCCTGTCATGTTCAGGCCTTGCTGGCAAGTTTGACGCAGTCCTGACTTGTTTGCTTGGCATGTCCAGTAGGCATGTTTACTTTTACCCTGAAAGAAATATGAATGGATTAATGAAGTTACATTGGGATTCACTAATTTTGGATTGTGGAGTTTTTGGGTGGCACTTTAGCATCACATTTCCTTGCTGAGGTTGGCACGAACGTTTGTTCGTTTGCTACCGGAACTGTTCGAGCAAACATGACCGCAAGCATGTCCAGATCTTCTTTCGCAGACATGTTCGTGTGCATGTTTGCTTGACTTGTTTATGGTTTCGCATGCTTATTTTCCGGTCACCCCTGTCATGTTTCAGGCCTGGCTTACATGTTTTGATTTCTTGCCCCATTGATTGTTTGGCATGTTTTGAGACGTTCAGTTTCACCATAGTGCATCCTGTCTCACCATAGTGCATCGGCGTGAGTCAAGCAGAACGGTCTGAGACTCCATAGAAGAGCAATAAAGCTGCCGATTCCTTTTGCGCATATAGTTGTGCCGGGACATCGCTGAATGTGATCTGCCACAGTCATTAGTCATAGTCCTTGAATGCTTTGCGGGTCCGCATTGTTGGTCTGTGCAGCTAGGTTTGCATGGAGTCAGGGCCCCGGGATGGGATGGATTACATGGATAGGCAGGCTGCTACCACAAAGAGACAAATCGATGTATTTTATATTGAGATATAGAGATATGATATAAAGATGGATGTATGACTGTTAATATCTAGAGATGGATGTATGAGTGTTAAGATAAGAGTTTCCATTCCAGTCACAGTCAGGAGTCAGGACCCTAAACCCAAAAAGAACCAACTTATATCATATTGTAATACTGTGTGTGTCCCAGCCCAGAAACGGTCGCCGCCTGCCAGGTCCGCCCGTTTTATATTTCTTTTTGGGGAGATGGCAAACCACCTTGGTTGGGGGGCCCCAAAGCACATAGCCCTCATGACATGTTCATGGATGCTGGTTTCGAGTCACATGGAAATAGAACTTCGCCGCACCACCCCGTCGGATTGCTGAGGTGGCCACGACAATGATGACTTCGCTGTGAGTACATGGGCCGGCCTGTGTGTAAAAGCGTCTGTGTGTACAAGTGATTGTGTGTAAAAGCGCTTGTGTGTAAAACCGTCTGTGCGTAAAAGCGTCTGTGTGTAAAAGTGTTTCTGCGTAAAAGTGTTTGTATGTAAAACCGTCTGTGTGTAAAAGCGTTTGTGTGTAGAAGCTTCTGTGTGTAAAAGCGTCTGCGTGTAAAAGCGTCTGTGTGTAAAAGTGTTTGTGTGTAAAAGTGATTGTGTGTACAAGTGCCTGTGTGTAAAAGCGTCTATGTGTAAAAGCTTCTGTGTGTACAAGCGTTTGTGTGTAAAAGCAGCTCCTGTGTGTAAAAGGGTCTGTGTGTAAAAGTGTCTGTGTGTAAAGGCTTCTGTGTGTAAAGGTGTCTGTGTAGAAGCGTCTGTGTGTAAAAGCTTCTGTATGTAAAAGCTTCTGTGTGTAAAAGCTTCTGTATGTAAAAGCTTCTGTGTGTAAAAGCTTCTGTGGGTAAAAACTTTGTGTGTAAAAGCGTCTGTGTAAAAGCGTCTGTGTGTAAAAGTGTTTGCGATGCAAACTATTGTCTTGCACTTCTCGCTATTTTGTCTTGATACTCCTCTTCTCGACTGCCTATAACACAGCTTTCATATATCGTTTCTAAAATTGCGTCGCCATACTAACGAGAGAAGACCCTGCTCCTCTACGCTCTCGGGCCATCCGTCGTCTAGTTTTCCATGCCAAGTGCACAAAAACACTGTAAATTACAGTAAAACAGCAGCCGGGAGCCCGAAAAACGAGAAAACACCACCAGTGGGGGGTCGGCGGCAGGCGCGCGCCCCCGGGTAGCTAAAGCTTATGGCTCCAAGGCGCACGCAAACGGTGGAGGCATCTTCGGATTTTTGAGCTGATGCTTGTCGTCGGCTCCGCCGGATTACTTGACCCTCGATTTCATCGCAGGGTAGGCCTCCAAGCTATTGAAGGAGGACCTGCTTCAGAAATATATTCCTTATGCTTTTTTGAACATATTCATGTGTAGAATTGGAACTTTGTTGGAAATCGGCGTTTTTTTTTCCCAAATATGTAGCAAGCAAGGGTTCCCGTTTCACTCTGGGGGTCTGGGGGTTGAGGGTGTGTTCGCTCGACGTTACGTTTACGTTCGCAACCGTCCGCAACCGTCCGCAGGTCCGTATGGCCGTGCCTATGGCGAGTTCTGCAAAAGCGGTCACTTTTGGTGGTTTCAAATGTCGCGTAGCTTCGTTTCGCGTGGCAGGCGTGGCGCTTGGTGACATACAGACGTGTTTTGCAACGTGACAAAAGTCGTTTTGTGTGGCAGCTGCCATACTTTTGCGGCGTTTTCATAAGATGAGTTGCATTTTTTTGTGGCAGGTGGCAGGCGCAGTACTTTGGAGACCTCCATCGTGGCAGGCGCAGCACTTACGACGTGTCGTGTTGCGTGTTTTTTGCGAATCACATTGCCAGGGCTGCGTGAAGTGGTGACAATGTGCAAATTCCGTGGCAGGCGTGGCGTTTTTTGAGATGTAATGAAAATTGACGGAAGCCTCGCACGAAACATCGATTTTGAGGTAGTGAGTTTTCAGGTTCATGGGAAAACTCGCAGGAAAACATCGTAAAGAACTGCCGCCAATTTCAAGTTTCCACTTCGTGTAACAGCACCTCTGTGTAAAGACTTCTCTGTGTAAAAGTTTCTGACTGTAAACGCGCCTGTGTGTTAAAGCTCTCTGTGTAAAGGCTTCTTTGTGTAACAGCGTCTGTGTGTAACAGCTTCTGTGTGTAACAGCTTCTGTGTAAACGCCCTTGTGTGTGAAAGCTCCTCTGTGTAAAGGCTTCTCTGTTGAAAAGATTCTGTGTGAAAAGCATCTGCGCGTAAAAGCTTCTCTGTGTAAAGACTTCTCTGTGTAAAAACTTCTGTGTAGGGAAGCTTCCGTGTGTAAAAGCTCTGTGTAAAGACTTCTTTGTGTAGAATTTTCTGTCTGTAAACGCCTGTGTGTTAAAGCTCGCTGTGTAAAGACTTCTTTGTGTAACAGCGTCTGTGTGTAACAGCTTCTGTGTGTAAACGCCCTTGTGTGTAAAAGCTCCTCTGTGTAAAGGCTTCTCTGTGTAAACGCTTCTGTGTGCAAACGCGTCTGTGTGTAAAAGCTCTCTGTGTAACCACATCTCTGTGTAGAAGCTTCTGTGTGTAAAAGCGCCTCCGTGTAAATGCGTTTGTGTGCAAAATCTCCTTAGCGTAAAGACTTCTCTGTGTAAAAGCTTCTATGTGTAAAAGCTCCTCTGTGTAAAGACGTCTCTCCATGTAAAAGCTTCCGCGTGTAAAAGCCACTCTGTATAAAGACTTCTGTGTAAAAGCCTCTGTGTGTAAAAGCTTCTGTGTCTAAGACCTATGGAGAGGAGAGAAGGCTTCTGAACCCCTAGAGAAAAGAGCATCTCACAGGCCCGCTGCTGCCCGCTGTTGTCGGGACCCTTTGTCAGCTGCTGCTCCCGTGCCCCCTCCCTGCCACCGGTTCCGAAACAGCAGAAGGCCACCTAATTCCGTGACGAAAAGACGCCCAAAATTGCATGGAAAGAGTGCCTAATGCGCGCGTGGAATCCCTAGAGAGAGGAACATCTCACAGACCCGCTGCCGCTGCTTTTCTTGCGGCAAACCCCCGTGCGCCGGTTCCGAAACAGCAGAACGCCACCTAATTCCATGAGACGTGAAAATTGCACGGAAAAAGTGCCTAACGCGAGTACTGAATTCCTAGCGAAAAGGGCATCTCACAGACGCGCTGCTGCTCAGCAGATCACCACCTTCTTTTGCGGCGAAAAGACGTCAAAATTAAACCGAAAAAGTGCCTAACGGTAACGCGACTTTGAATCCCCATAGCCCAAGGAATTGCACGGAAAAAGCGCTTAACCCGATTTCTGAGTTCGCTGCTGCTATTGCTGTTGCTGGTAGGTCTTTGGGGCCAAGGGCTTGCTGCTGCTGCTACTGCTACAGGTGCAGAAGATAGCAGTGGTGCAGCCAGCTCTTCTTCCCTTGCGCGCTCCCCTTTGCGCAGCCGGGGCTGGCGGATTTTAGTAGCGGATCTTCTTGCTTTCTAAGCAGCGATCGAGGTGCCGCGCTGTCCAACCAAAGCTCTGGCGCGCTAGGCTTGATGTTAGTGACGCCTTGGCCGCACCTTGGCTCAGAGCTTTGGAGGTCAAAAATCAGATGGGATTTGGAAGTTCCGCCCTTGGGGCAACGGTAGGGCGGCCTTGTCGTTTTAGTAAATCCATTACCACACGACTGGCTCCGAGACAACGATCAGCACACGACTGGAACTTCGCGCCCCTTCCACTTGAACCCTTCACAGTGATAAAGTAGAAATCAGAGGTGCCCTCAGCGATTAAAGCCTTGTGATTCTTTGGCCAGTTGTTCCAGGTCCAAGAATTTGAGCAGTTGCACACTTTGGGAATTGGCATTCCAACAAATTCAAAGTTGTATGAAGGTACCTGAAGGACTATATAAAGTATTCAGGAGTGTGTCCTGAACAAGCAGCCCAAACAGCCTTCTTCGGCCAAGCATTCCAAGGATTCCAGAACTCTTGGACTTGCTAAGCCACCCAGGTAGGGTGAATCTGACAGCTCGCGCCCCAGATGCTAACGTAAGTCTTCCTCCCCAGCGTTCAAAGCAGGGCTTGGTTGCAAATCCGGCAAAGTGAGAGACCAACAAGAAAATATACTTGTGCCTTGTGTGCATTAGTTCCTAGCAGACCTTGCCTAGACAATGTCAAATTTTAGCTGCAATAAGTGGGTGCCTTTCGATTCCATGTCCCTTTTTGCTGGTGGTCGTTGTGGAATCTAGACGATTTTCCTTGCCTTTGTGGTTTGCCGAAAGCTGACAGCAAACCATGTTGGTATGTATTCCGACGTTGCCAATTCACACTTCTTGCACATCGAGATTGTCACCCCGACGGGCTATATATATATAATTTATATATATATATAAATCTTTTCTTTTATTCCCTCTTGGCTTCTTGGGTTAGCTTTGTGTGATTCCATCATGTCATTCTTGCTGAAGATTTGTTAGGTCTTGTTCTGACATCCATGTTGGGGGCGAGACTTTGAGGTTCATACTGCCATGGAGGAAATCCTTCACCTTCAGGAGGTTGGGAAGTTTGAGGTTTCTTGCAGCTTCCCATTTTCCCCATTGCTTCTCAATGTTTTTCAGTGTCCTGTACGTCCCGATTGCTTCTTCAGAGTGATGAGTGCGAAGGCAATGACATTCGATGTCATCCAGTACTAGATCCCCAATTTACCGAGTGCATGTTGTTGTTGTTGTTGTTGTTGGTTGTTTGTTTGTTTGTTTGTTTGGTTGGTTGGTTGGTTGGTTGGTTGTTGTTGTTGTTGTTGTTGTGGTCGTCGTCGTCGTCGTGGTGGTGGTCGTCGTCGTCGTCGTCGCCGCCGTCCTCGTCGTCGTCGTCGTCGTGGTGGTCGTCGTCGTCGTCGTCGTCGTCGTCGTTGTTGTTGTTGTCGTTGTTGTTGTTGTTGTTGTCGTTGTGGTTGTGGTGGTGGTGGTTGTTGTGGTGGTTAGTCGGTTGGTGGGTTGGTGGGTTGGTGGGTTGGTGGGTTGGTGGGTTGGTGGGTTGGTGTTGGTGGGTTGGTGGGTTGGTGGGTTGGTTGGGTGGGGTGGGGGTTGCGTGGGTAGTGGGGTGGGTAGGTGGGTGGTGGGGTTGTTGGTTGGTGGGTGGGTGGATGGTTGGTTGGTTTGGTTTGTTTGTTTGTTTGTTTGGTTGGTTGGTTGGTTGGTTGGTTGGTGGATGTTTGGTTGTCGGTTTTGTTGGTTGTCGGTTGTCTATTGTTGGTTTTGTTGGTTGTCGGTTGTCGGTTGTTGGTTTTGTTGGATGTCGGTTGTTGGTTTTGTTCGTTTTGTTGTTGGTTTTGTTATTGGTTTTGTTGTTGGTTGTTGTTTGTTGCTTGTTGAATGTTTTTTTGTTGTTTGTTTGTTTGTCTGTCTGTCTGTCTGTTCGTTCGTTCGTTCGTTCGTTTGTTTGTTTGTTTGTTTGTTTGTTGGTTTTGCATTGTTTTTCTGTGAAGAACCCACTTTTCTCCCACACGTCATGCCAAGTACTTTTATGTACTTTGGTGCAAGCACGCAGGACTTTGGCCGTTGCAGAGTGAAAACACTTCGTGCTGCTAGAGGATGGTGAGTCTAATGTAGGGTAGGTAGCCATTTTGTTTGCACAGTAGTGTCAGAGCCTGCTGCTTTCACATGGTAGGCGGCACTTAAGAGAGCCCAGGGAACTTTGGCAGAACAATGGCAGTTGAATCTGGAGAGTTTGGCTTTGCAGGGAAGATTCGTCCCCCGCTGCCCAAGACTTTTTTCTGGAACACCCGCGGATTGGGAAGAATGTTGTTGGAACTTTAAGTCCTGCATGTTTGATGCAACTGTGAAAACTTTGCTGGATGACGTGGAGAGCCGACAGACAGTGCTCGCAGATGACGCAGGAGATGTGGACAATGCGGCAGCCCAAGCAGCCATCAACTCTAGCAGACAGTTGCACTACTTGCTTGCGAATCTGACGACAGACTCTGCTAGGTTGATCGTGCGACAGAACTTGGATTCCAATGGGCTTGAAACTCAGCTATTGGATTCTAAGCTCAGCCCTGCCACTTTTGAATCTGACTTCAACACTTGGGAAACCATTCAGAACCGGTATGAACAGCAAGTTGGCACACCACTTCCCGATGGCGTGTTGGTAGCCCCTTTGCTGAATAAGACCACAGGAGCGCTTCAGCAACACCTTCGTCCCAATGCTAGAACTTTGCAGACACGAGACACAATTGTAGAGCACTTTAGATCCAAACAACTCATTCTAGGAGCAAACAGCAGCAGCAGTAACGGCCCTGCACCAATGGACGTAGGCGCAGTGACAGGAAAAGGACGGAAAGGACAAGAAAAGGAAAAGGAAAAGGGTACCACTGGAACTTTGCCAAAGGAGAAGGTAAAGGAGTAGGAGGCAAGTCGCAAGGAGAAAATAAAGGAAAAGGTACAGGACTTTGGATCTTCGGGCCCTCAAGGAAAACAGTGTTGGAAATGTGCTGGTTTTGGCCTCTTTGAGAATGCTTGCCCTACAGGAAGAGTGAATGCAATTGACGCAGAAAACTTTCAACAGACATGGCCGGAAGATGATTGGACGTCATGGAACGCTCTGGGAAGACTCTGATGAAGACTGGGCTGTGAATGCTGTGTGTGATGGAAGTTGTCACTTTCAGGGCTCTTCATATGATGAACCATGGTGTATACAAGCCCGTCAGGTATGTTAAGAATTTTGCTAGTACCTCCCGGAGTGATTGGGTTAATTTTAAAGCCGTGTAAATTAAAGCCATGTTTTTTATATACCATACCCCTGAGACCCCCTGAGCATTTTCAACAGAAGAGTTTTTTCTCAAAGGTTAATGCATGAGAATATTTGCAGGTGGATGTTTAGAAAGATAAACTAAACCAAACACGTGTTATTTGGGGGCAAGTCTATCTTTATGAGGCTAAGACTTTGGGATTAGCAGGACAGTGTTTGCAAATGATTTTGGGGTACTTTTTGAAATATTTTCCCTTGTAGGTTTAAGCATGAGAATATTTGAAGGTTGATATTTGGAAACACGGTCAACATGAACACAAAAACATGTCGTTTGGGGTCAAGTGTATGTTAACGGCAGTTGGGTCCTGTCTTGGACATCACAACTGGCCCTTGCGTGGAAAACCACCAATTTCTTGTTTCCAAAAAGTAATTCGCGCCAACAAAGCGTCGATTTTTGCGCAAGTTCTTGGCACTTTCCGCAGGCTTTGCAGTTTACCTCTATCATTGTTCACTGGATTGGTTTTACAGAAAGAAGAAGACAGCCAAGAAAGCAAAAGAAGAAACATAGAAAACTGTTTGATAAATGATCGGCCCTGCTCATTCCCAAGCTCAATTTAAATCATCGTCTTCACTACAGTGCCTGTCTTGTTTCAATCTATCTGGCAAACCACCCCCACTATCCTACCAACCTGAGTGCCAACCTGCCACAACTAAACGGAAACAAAAACACGCCAGAAGGGGAAAAATGCAAAAAACAAGCAAAACTCTCCATGGTCATCATCGTGGTCATCATCATGGTCATCATTCGAAATGATGACCATTGGTCATCATATGGTCATTATTTCAAAATGATGTCCATGGTCATCATTTGATGACCATGACAGTCATGGCCTTTGGTATGGTCATCATTTTCAAAATGACGACCATGGTCGTTATTTTCTTAATCACTTTATGCAAGGAGGACGACCATGCACAAAAACCGGATGATGACCATGGTCGTCATTTTCAGAATGACGACCATGGCTGCCATACCAGAACGATCATGGAAGAATCGAAGACGAAAATGAAATGATGACCACAAAGAATGATGACCATGGATGATGACCATGGCCAAAAAATATGCCAGCCTGATCAATTTGCGTTCAAAAAACAGAAAATGGAAACAAAAACCTACCATCAGGAAATTCGAGCAAACATTCGACCACTATATAGCTTTCCTCATTTTGCAGTGCACAGGAAAAGGCGACTCTGCACCTGTCTGCCTGAATACTTGAAAAGACATTGGCAAGCATCCCTTCTCCCATATACAGATTTAGAAATCCGGTCGTAAGACTCTAGGACCTAGGACTGTAGGAAAATATGGGATGCTAAGAAAAAATGCCACTCCTACACGCTGCTCCACAACAGGTTGTTTGTTTTCCTGTTCCCGTTTCTCCTCATAGCGTTGTGAATGGAAGAATAGCATCTCAGGGGATCAAAGGGAAACATTACATTAAATTTACCAACGCGCAGGAGCAAAATAACAGCTGGCAACTCATACATACTCATACTGCTTTGGAATTGGCCAAACCAGCCCTAGTCAGTGTAAACAGCGCAGGCAGCAGAGCAGGAACAATGATTGCATTCGGCCTTCGGCGGTTCAGGTCCAAACTTGATTTGCGACTTGGTTTATTTTTCAACTTCAGATGAAAGAATGAACGAAAGCTCCATCCACAAAAAAAGGGCGGTTGTCAGTCAAGGGCGCTGTGCTAAAATTTGCAATCAAAATATCAAAGTTAGAAGCAAAAATGCCGCGTAATTTTTTGAAACTTGGGCATTGCGTGCGCAACTTGCCGTTTTAAGGTAAAGTTATAGGCGTTCCAAGCCCACCCGTACTTTTTGATGAACACAATGAAAACCTAGCCGCAGTTAACATACCTCGCGGACTTGTATACCATGGTGTGGCAATTCTTGGGATGACAGTTTGGACTGGTATTCGTATCAGGAACTACTTTGGAACTTTCAGGAACTGTCTGCAGGATCTGGCAATAAGGCAACTTTGGAGCAAGCTTCGGCTAGTTCCTCTGCTGCAGGAACTGTTCAAACTTGCAGTCGCCACTTCCTCCACAAGGATCTGTTTCAGCAGTGACTTCACAGCCGTCCAAAACTTTGACCTCAAGGACGCCTTCGGCTAAGAAGTAGCATGGCTAATGTTGCACTTTTTGTAACCGTGATCGTGAGTGCGGTCTCACCAAGTTCATCACTTTTGTTGTCATCTCATGGGATGAATGCACTTGATGACATGTACTCCGGAGTCCTTGACTTTTGTATGCCTGTTTCGCAGTTTCATTTTAAGAATAAACTTGTGATGTCGTTGTCACTTTCATGAATAAAACGTTTCATGAACACAGGTCGGAGACTTTGTTTTCTGTAGACCAGCTTGGCATGGAGTTGAATACCACTTTCCATGACCGTTGGCTTGCGAATCGCTTGGTAGCATCAACAACTTTGGATGCTGACCATTGGATTCTTTTTGACAGTGGTGCTTCGGCCAATGATTGCCCAAAGAACTTTGGGGAAGAATGGCCACTTTTACCTTTAAACGGTGAGCCTCCGCCTTTGAGAAGCATCAGGTGGACAGCCTTTACATGTGTATGGCCGTCGTTTGATTCGTATGACTTTGTATGGTGTTCCTGTATGTTTTCACTTTTATGTGTGTATCGGGTGATTTCTGTGGCAACGTTGCAGGGATACAAAGTAAACATGGACCCCCCTGACACATGTATACTTTGAGAACACCTGACGGACAGGGTCGTTCGCCAGGGTTCCCTTTTGTTTTTATGCCTTGAACTTGAACCATTCAACGGATATGACGTTGCACCGTGTTGCAATGAATTTCATGCTCAGTTCAGCACTGAGGTTCCTCCTGGTTTGATGGCAACTTTTAACCCAGTGTACTGTCATGCTGATCGATTGGTTTTTGAAGGATAACATGTTGATTCGACTTGATCCACGTGCCAGGAAACACTTTTTGTTTCAAGCGGCACACAGGATCGAGAGGATCGACGGGTTCCTGTTGAAGACTTATTGAAGGCTTGGCGTCAAGTCGAGTCACGGAAATGGAACTTGCGGATGGAACCAAGCGGACTTCCACCGACAATTGGCCAAGGTCTGATGATCCATGCCAAGGGTCGATGCCTTTAAGGGTCGAATCATTTTCCTTTTGGCTTCTAAGCCCACAGGACGTCGTGTGTCGATGAAAACTTCCACTTTGCCACAGTCACTCAGTGAGTCGAAGGAGGCAACAGAGACAATAGAGAAGCGTGTCGACTCTTCTTCGCGACTTTTTTCTTCTTCGCGACCTTCAAAGCCACTTTTGGCTGAAGACACCTTCGTCACCAAGTTGGACAAGACAAAGGAAGGCACTTTGGAGGACTTTAAGATGCTTGCCTTACAAGCAGTTTCTGACATTGACCCTGCAGCTTCTCAGCAGTACGTTCATGACCGGTGGTTGGACTTTCCTGCCTCGTATGTTCGTGTGCACCATGAGAAGAGTAGAACTATGTATGTGCCACCTGAGGATCAGGGTTTTGCCTCTCATGACATTGAGGAGGCACGCGTGACTTTGATCATTCATGACAATGGGGTCACGTCATGGGTCAACGACAATTGGCATGAGCATGGTGAACTTGAGGTGGACAGAACTTTTGTTGATGCAACAGGTTTTTGCAAAGTTGATTGGCACTTTGATGATGATCCGGTTCGTGCTGTTGACGATACTTGGCGTGAAAGCACCAGGTGAACCAACTGAACTTGAGGTGATGGAGCACAATGTGACCTTTCAGAAGTTGGTGTAAAATCTGCGTCCGATCTAAGTCAAAGCAGAATCCGAGCAGGACTTTGAAGTCTCGTCAACCAGTCCTTCAAATAGACTATTCGTTCATTGGGGACAAGCCTGGCGAGCCACAAGTCACTTGCTTGAATGTTGTGGGCGTCATGAGTGGTTTGAGAAGCCATGGATATAGTGGACTGTGGACGGAGATTTCAATGTCTCCGTATCTGAAGTTGGCATCGGCAATCAAAGTGCGAATCTGGGCATACAAAGTGGCCTGCATGTTTCAAACAGACCCCTGTGCTTGTTTCCATCTTGTTGGGGAACGGGAACTTCGGTAAGACAGTCCTCCAACCTGGCCAGTCACTGCCTGAGCCAGTTGCTTCAGGGATGGCTCTGAATCCGCTTGCAAGATGCCGACAGTTCTTCCAGTCTCCAAAACGAAGCGACTCAGTTCTGCCTGAGCATAGACTGAACGACCTTTGCAAGGAACAACAACTGAAAGCGCCCGACATGCGCAGTGGTTGATCAAGAGATATGTGCAGAAATCTGATGGATTGACCGCATGAGCGGAGATGGAACCGAAAACACCATGGTTCAATTTGCAACTTCGGTGAAGCGTTGATGTTTCGTATTGCTAATGTTTGAAAAACGCAACTTTCATGGCATGAGGGATCTGGCTTGGACGCGATACGGATTCCGACATGCGCTTTGTCGCAGATTCTTCCGGCGTTTTCAAGACTAGAGGTATCCGGCGGAACATTCCGTCAAAACAGTCAAGCTTGGAACTTTTGCAAAGCATCACAGCCACACCTTGGGGTCCCACTGGTTCCAAGAGTGAAACAGATGCTTTCATACTCCCGCTTTCAAAGGATGATCCTCAGCCATTGTCTGAGGGAGCGTCCAAAGAAGACTTTGCTGCACAAGAGCCTCCGGACGATGACATAGAGCTGGAGAGCCCATTGCCTGATGGCTTGGCGGACTTGCCGGCTGCAGGGAGCGAAATGGCACTTTTGTCCCAACCACTTTCTTCGCCGTCACGTGTTTGCAGGCATGATGAGGTCTCTCCTGACGATGCGCCCACGCCTTGATTCTTCTGCAACTTTGGAGCGTAAGCATGAGCATGATCCGGAAGAAGCCGGACCTGGTTCCAAGGTCCAGCGACTTTCGCGTATACTTTCTGTTGCAGCTGTGACTGGAATTGACTTTCCATGACGTTCATGGTTGTTTCAAAAGCCGTAGACTTATGACTGTCGAATTTCATCTGTTGACACCGAGCATGGGCTCGAAGTTCCTGTTTCGGTGAGCCAAGATGAAAAGAACTTTTGCTGGCAAAGAGCTTGGAGAACCTTTTCCTTTGGTATGAAGCCGAGTTTCCCAAGGAACTTGAGATCGCTGGCATGAAGAAAGAGATGGAATCCATGGTTAACTTTGATGTCTTTTCAGAAGCGCCTGTTGAAACTTTGAGTGCGCACGAACTTTCTCATGCAATTTCTTCTCGGCGGGTGAAGACCCGCAAGCCGGATGGCACAGTGCGTTGCAGACTTGTTGTCCGTGGTTTTGATCAGGTGGTTGACGATCCTGATCAGACTTTTGCGAGCACTCCAAGCCTCACGACACTTTCGGTTGCTTTCGAGTGGGATGTTTCAACCGGAGACATTTCCACAGCTTTTCTCCTTGCCTTGATCACAGGTGAAGAGATTTATGTCATTCCACCTGCTGAATACTATCCAGATCAGAACGTGATCTGGAAGTTGAAGCGTGGACTTTACGGCTTGAAGAACTCCCCCGAGACTTGGCAAGCAAGACCACTTTCTGACCGTTATGAAGAAGCTCAGCTGTAGCCGTATGAAGAGTGATCCGAACTTGTACGTCCACACCTGTACGTCCAACAGACGCGGATGATCTCATGTTTTTTGGCAGCCGTCCAGACATTGACGTTCTTGCCAATGACATGAGGAAAGAACTTTTGTTGAAGATCACAGGTCACCTTGGTGAAGGTCAAGAGGTTCAATTTCCCGGCCGTGACATTCGGCGAATTCCTGAAGCAGTTGAACCTTCAATGAGCCAGACCTACGTTGAGAAGATCCTTGAAGCCTTGGACATGCAGGACTGTCGCTCAGTCACGGCCCCAGGTGTAGACACTTTGAAGAAAGTGGCTGACTTCCAGCAAGTTTCTCCAGAAATGCAGAAACTGTACAGAAGAGTTGTTGGTCAGCTACTCTGGCTGTCAAATTTGAGATGTGACATCATGTATGCAGTCACAGAACTTCAAAAGGACTAACTGGACCAACAGGCGACCGCTTTTCCAAACTGAAACAGCTTGCAAAATATCGCTCAGGAACCCGAACTTGTGTTCAGCAATTTCGCCCAAATGTGAAATTTCCGCCCCAGCACCAGGGTATCGACATAAACTGCTCCGTGGACAGTGACTGGGCTGGAGACCCAGGCTCACGTAAGAGTACTCCCGGCATGTCACTTTTCGTGTTGGGCGCAAACATCACAGCACGCCACTTCGAGAAGAGTAAAACATGTTGAGCTTAGGTACTTGTATGTTCAAGAACTTGTTCAGTCTGGTTTGATTCGGTTGCGTAAGTTAAGGTTCTAGGAACTTTGAACCCTGCGGATATTGTCACAATGTGTGTTGGTAAAGATACTTTGAATATATAGACACATGGGTACTTTGGACTTATTCCCAAGTAGATCGCGTGAACGCTAATTAAAGGCCCGGTAAAGCATAAAAGGAACTTTATCAGTGCAAATTTTTGGTTGGAAGCAGAAGTTTTCATGTGCATTCCCACAGCCGATGTGATCAATCGAGCTTCACACTTTGCAGGGAATACTTTGTGTGTAACCGCCGCTGTTTTTTTTCTTTGCTCGCCTTCAACTCTGTGAACGTTGCGAGCCTTGATTTTGCTGCATGGGCTGACTTTGCCGTATGCTGGAACTTTGAAACGACATACCGGGTCCACTTTATGTGGAGGAAATGTGGTGGGCCTCCTCTACTTTATATCTTTACACCGCATCGTGTTCACTTTGTGAGACATAGGTTGCAAACTTTGTCGACCAAGATCTATTTTGACTCCGGGACAACTTTGGTACAGGGCAATCCCCTGCAAGCACTTTGAAACCTTCAAACTTTCGGACAGTGGCCTTTTGAAGCTGGCAAAAAGCTTGAACTTTGAATTTGGTCCAGCTTTGGGTTTGGAGCCCGTGGCTGAATTCAAACTTTGGTTGGCTCTTCGAAGCAGGAATCAGCTCTTTGATCTCAAAGAGACACTTTTTGGCACGCAGTCCATGGGTTGGATTTGCTGAATAGAACTTTGGAAGGTTTTCTTCCTAGGCCTGAATTCCCAAGGGCCAGACTTTGAAAGGATGGCAACTTTCCGAATGACTTTTTCTGATTACAGACGTTGGTGCAGCAGAGAACTTTTTGTGGAAGCTTTGATTGATAAATTAGAGCAATGGTAGCCTAAAGGTCAAACTTTTGCAGCATCGCAGCAGAACTTGTATAACTTCCAAAGCACGACTTTTGCCAAATATGGCAGATCAGTTTTGCTGGACGCCCATGGAGACTTTTGTTTGGACGTCAAGTATTCAGACTTTGCCATTTTTGAACTGCAACTTTGGCTTCCAGAATGTTCCTCAAGAACTTCCGAACTTTCTGGTTTGGCTTACTGTGCCGAGAACGTGCTTTGATCAGATGTACAGAGCATTTTTGAATGGCCAGAAGTGGGAAATTCACCCCGCTCACTTTAATTTCACCAATGGAGAGCTCAACTTTCATTTCGTGTTTCAATTTTCCATCAGCAGAGTTCAGCAGGCAGATGTGAACTTTGACCTGTTGAAGTGGCCCATTACTTTGGGGTTCAGGGTGCCACTTCACTTTTATGAGTCAAATGGCCATGTTTGGAACAGATGGTACTCTGACTACTTTGTGCATTTTTGGATCAATGCCTCTCTTCTTTGAAAGCTCAACGCTTTTGGGTAGAGCTACATTGCAGGGGCTTGTAATTTTTGATCATGTGAACCTGCACATTGTCAAAATCTTGGAGCACTTTGCAGTAACCGATTTTGAGAGCATCCTCACTTTTGCCTGCTTATGCATATGCCACGCTCTCATCAGACTTTGGCATTGGTGCAGCCAGAACAGGGAGATTCTCAAATACCTGCTCCACTTTTAATCAAAGCACCACGTGCACGACTTTGAGCGTCGTAGTTGCAACTTTGTCCGCGAGCTGACTGTAAATGATGCTCCTTGGAACTTAGGTCCATGGGACAGCTGCGCGTTTACATTGGCTATACTTTTTTTCGTTTCAAGATAGCTGGTTGGCGCCAAATCCACTGTACTCTTGAGCCCGCAACTTTGCATGTGTTTGCATGTAGATTTCAACTTTAATTTGTGTGAAGTACAGTACATAGTACTTGGTTCAAGGAGCGTGCGAAGAATCCGCTTTTCTCCCACTCGTCATGCCGAGTACTTTCATGTTCTTTGGCTCAAGCACGCAAGACTTTGGCCGTTGCAGAGTGCAAACACTTCGTACTGCTAGAAGATGGTGAGTCTAATGTAGGGTAGATAGCCATTTTGTTTGCACAGTAGTGTCAGAGCCTGCTACTTTGGCATTTTCCCCAAACAGCGTGGCCACACTGAGGGGCTCTTACGGTAGGTGTTAGGGCCCGGTGTTCATTCAAGGTGGTATCATCCGTTTCTGGCCAATTCGCTGTAAATTTCGGCAGAGAATGGCTCTTGTCATGAAAGCTAGCGGTAGCTAGCTGGAGTTACTCTTGCCTCAGCAAGGGGAGGGCAGGTCTGAGTCCAACACAATGATTTTTCATTCGAACCCCCCCTAATCTCCCGGGGCATTTTGAAGCAATCTCGCAAACAGAAAGGTCACGTGCTCAAATCCTGCCAGGGCCGTCCCTCTGTAACTCTCTTGCGCAATATGCCTCACCAGAGCATTGGGCTCGATAGAGTTCTTTCTGACCCAGGTCAACACTGTATAGATTTGAGCCCCATCAAAAATTATAATTTTGGATGAGGCCCAAACTTTATCGCGTACCCATCTTCTTTGGTTCAGACATTCCAAGCTTGCCAGAGCTTCTAACAATTTGGCAGCGGGCTCGATAGAATGAGGCTCTGAGCCCCATCAAAAATTACACTTCTGGATAGGGCTCCAATTTTTTACAGTAACCATGTTCTTTGGTTCACATGTTCTACAAATGAAAGCTGAACATTACACCTCTTCTTTTCCGACGCCCCTGTGGATGAGTACCGCCTGACACTTTGGCAGTGAGCTCAAAGCAGCTCCGGATACAATCCCCCCTATCGTTCAATGGCGGTGCCGGCTGCAAAGTCCTAGATCACTTGCATTTATGTCGTGTATGTTTGCAGCTCTATATACCTCCACCCGAGGTCACCAAACACAGCATGCAACTGCCTTCTACATATGAACCTCTCCATTGCGCAGCTCCTGTGCCTGTATATGCTATGCATGTCTATCTCTTTGTGTCGATATCGTGTTCTGATTTTCTTTCTGTATTTTCTTTCTTCATATATATATACACACACATCTGTATTTATTTATTTATTTATTTATATAAATGTATATTATATATATACATATATATTTACATATGTTTTTTTAAAATATACACGCCTATATTTTTTATTTTCTCTATCTTTCTCGCACGTTTCTAGCGCACGTGCTCCGCCCCAATTCTTCTCACCGCTGTTCCAGTTTTACTTCACACTGCCGCAGTTTCACTTCATTGCCGCAAAAAAGGCTCCGGAGACATGCGCGTGCTTTCCACTTCCCTGCATGTTTCCAAGTTCAGCTCACCTATTTCCGCATTCATGTGACCTTTAGCTTTCGTTCACTCCCCCCCGGGGCCTCAAGTGAAACGTGAAATGTCCATGTGCATGTCGACTGCGCAGGCTCGCGCAAAACGGGTGCGCGGCAGTCCCGCCCGGCATTTTCCCTTTAAACGGGCTCTTATGACATGTTCATGTGCATTTCGACTGCGCAGGCTCGCACGAAACGGGGGTCGCGGTATTAGCGTCCTGCATTTTCCCGTATAAAATGGATCTTGGCATATCCATGTGCCTTTTGACTGCCAAGAGACCTCCTACAGGGAGCTTGCACAGAGATCTTGCCCAGAAACCTCTCATGGAGATCTTGATCAGAGATCTTGCCAAGAGACCTCCCACAGAGATTTCGCCAACAGAGCTCTTGTGGAGATCTTGTACAGAGATCTTGCCAGGAGACGTCTTTTAGAGATCTTGTACAGAGACCGGACCTGGTGAAGAGAGCAGCGATCAAGATCTTGCACAGGGTATAGAGAGCTTGAACAGAGTTCTTAGAACAGAGATCCTGCTTTGAGATCCTTCACAGAGATCTTCTGTGGATTTCTTATAGAGAGATCTCTTCAAGAGTCTTGCCAAGAGACCTCTTATTGAGATTTTGTACAGAGACCTTGCCAGGTACTTCCTTTGGAGATCTTGTACAGAGACATTGCATAGAAATCCAGGAGATTTCATAGAGAGATCTTGTACAGAGACATTGCGTAGAGATCTGTTGAGATCTTGCCAAGAGACCTCTTATAGAGATCTTTCACAGAGATCTTGCCAGGACACCTCTTCTGGATGTACAGAGACATTGCACAGAGATCTGTTGCAGAGATCTTGCCAAGAGGTTTCTTACATATCTTGCCAAGAGGGCTTTTATAGAGAGCTTGCAAAGAGATCTCATAAGTCTTGCCAAGAGACCTCTTAAAGAGGTCTGCGCGCTCTTGCAGAGATCTTGTACACAGATCTTGCAAGGAGACCGTTTTTGGAGATCTTGTGCAGAGACCCCGTGAAGAGAGCAGAGGCCTTGCTCGGAGATCACCTATAGATAGCTTGAACAGAGAACTTTGAGATCCCTTACAAAGATCTTCTGTGGAAATCTCCTATAGACACCTTGTACAGATAGCCTTACACAAGATCCTGCACAGCAGCTTCTACAGAGAACCTCTCAAGGAGATCTTGAGCACGATCTTCTACAGAGATCTTCGCAAAGGGAACTTGCAGAATCTGACCTCGTATTTTTTCTTTTCACTGCTAGGGTCGCTCTTGTCCTGCTAGCTTGCAGCGACTGATGATTTTAGGTCCTTTCCACCTTTCCATTGCTTTGTTTTGTTACGTTTCTTTTCTTTTTGTTTGTTTGTTTGTTTGCTTGTTCGTTCGTTCGTTCGTTTGTTTGTTCGCTCGTTCATTCATTCATTCGTTCGTTTGTCGGTTTGTCGGTTTGTCGGTTTGTCGGTTTGCTTGTTTGCTTGTTTGCTTGTTTGCTTGTTTGCTTGTTTGCTTGTTCGCTTGTTCGCTTGTTCGTTTGTTCGTTTGTTTGTTTGTTTGTTGGTTTTCTAATTTGCGTCGAGATGTAACTCCATGCCCACCGCATGTCATTGCGCACTCCACTGCACAGACCGTGAGCCACGACCACTGTATTGATTGTACTTTGGCTCAAGGCCGGTCAAGACTGGCCCAAGGCCACTGAACAGACCGGGGGAACTCTGAGTTTGTTGTACTTGAAGCTACCAATGCAATTTCGAAGAGTAGCGGAGCTGCTGGCGCTCCTACTCTGAGTCAAGTGGAAGAGGCAATACTGGCCCACACTGATTGCGCGAGAAAAGTGGAAGTGGCAAGATTGGTCACACTCATTGAGGGAAAAGCGGAAGAGGAAATATTGGCCCCCACTGTACAAACTGTAGTAGAGCTAGGGTAGGAGAATGCGAAGTGCAAGAACTTTGGTGAGAGAAACTCTTTGGGAGGAAGTGCAGGACCACCACTGCCAAAGAAGTTCAGCGGCAAGATGGAAGCCTGGGAAGATTGGTCGTACTCATTGAAGAACTATGCGGCGCTGTTCAAGACTGATTTGCTGGAAGTGATGGAAAGATCTGAGAGAAGTGACAGACCGATCGCTGATCAAGATCTAGCTGCGCTAATAACTGTTTTGGAAATTTCAACAGAAACTGCTTGAATTCACGCATCAGCTTCGCTATCGACTGACCCAATTGACAACTGATAGTGCCAGCCTGATTGTCCTAGAGAATGTGTCCCAAAATGGATTTGAGAGCTGGCGGTTACTTGGTCCAAGATTCTCGCGGCCAGGAACTCCGCAAAACATTTCGCTGTTAACTCGCGTGTTGGAATGCAGGTTTAGGACTGAAAACTTTGAGCAATATTACTCAGAGTGGGAGATGTTGAAGAACGGGTTTGAAAGGCAGACTCAAGCGCAACTGCCCGATTCAATAATGGTTGCAGCGCTGTTGAACAAAACGGCTGGACACTTACAACAGCACTTGAGGTTGAACATGGGTACGCTGGAGATGTATGATGCTGTGAGAAGAGTGATCACGGTGTGCTACCAAAGTAGACATGTGACTAATGTGCGCAAGACTGCAAAGGGCCCAGCGCCCATGGAAATCGGTGCGAGGTGGAAGTTCCCTGGACTGAGCAATCACCATTTCAGTTGCTGTGTGATTGAACCAGGCTGCTACTTGCAGAAGATCGAATTGCTTCAGGACTGGAAGCCAACTATGCCTTCCAACAATCAGGTGGACTACCCAACTTGAGTGGTACTTCCATCTGAAGACGCACTGAAGCTGAAGGGCGATGGAAAACTTCCTACTATCTACTTCGAGCACAAACTTGCCAACCTCTGGACTGACTTGAGATCAGTAGTACTGTGTGCCGCACTGCAGCTGTGGAAGACTGATGGGTCATCACCCTACGTGACTCACTGTGGCTCTCCACCGGTAGCTGTTGGGATCTACTTGCCAGGGACTCGAGTGACTGAGATGAAACAGTTCAACCGGCTTTACTATACTCTCACTCCCTTGTCAACTCGCCTGGTGGGATTGCAATCGAGTTTGATGAGATTTAGCTGAAGTCTGCACCGTGCTTCAGGTTCAATTTCAACTTGAAGACACTGGCTGGTGGACTGGCAGAGGAACCGAATGGCGCAGTGTACTAAAATGGGCACAAGTGCTACTTGGCCGGTTGCCTGCCACTTACTGAGCTGCAGATGTTCAGATCTGGAATGGCGTGACTTAACTGACGAACTACAAATAAACTATATACGCTGTTTGGCAAGACTGAGGGTGACAACTTTGTCACCCACCATCTTTCACACACAACTTTGTCGCACACCATTTTTAACACACAACTTTGTCGCCCGCCATCACACACAACTTTGTCGCCCACCATCTTTCACACACGACTTAGTCACACACAACTCACACAACTTTGTCACCCACCATCTTTCACACACAACTTTGTCACACACCATCTTTCACACACAACTTTGTCCGCACAACTTTGTGTGGCAGGGGTGGCACTTGGTGACCTCCAACTTCGTTTTGCGTGGCAGGCAAGGGGCTTCTCTGCGAGAAGCCAGCCTGCGGCCAAGTCGCTGCGCCGCTCGGCTCTTTGCGCCCTTTGCCTTCCAGCAGACCTCCCACAAATGTTGGCGACGACCACGTTCGCGGCACTGTGATAGCACTCTCTGGAAGCGTCGTGGCGGAGCTTTTTGTCCTCAGGGGCCAACCATGGCCCGATGCCATACCATACCATTTGGTTGTTGGTGCCATTACTGGGGTGTTACCAGTTTTCACCTCTCCGAAAAGGCTATCGTGGTGTTCCCGCGGCCGAAACTCACCCACCGCGTTCCTGCGCATAGACCTGAAGTTGTTCTGAAACTGATTACCAGTAACGATCCGCCTCCAGTGAACATTCGTGTAGTCATCGGTAAGGCTGCTGCCACTTCTGCGGCTTACAGACCGCAGCCTGGCACCAGTCAGCTCTACGAATTCTGCGAGCTTCAGACTCTGATGCCACGAAATTTGCACCAGGTTCAACTGAGAGACGTGGACCTTCGGTGCCCAGACAGTCCGTTAGCCAAGAAACTCCGGCAACGCTTCTATGACATGCTGCGATACAACGTGAAACTGGGAAAGCGGACGTTGCCCGAATTTCGTCCTGATCAGTCTACGTCAACCTATAACATTCATGTGCTGGTGTCTTCGGATGGGCAGAGACTGGCTTTACGTGCGAAGTTGCTTTATGATCCAATTTATCTTCGTGTGCCTGTGGTGGAAGACGGCAAGGTCTCTCCTTGGAATAAGCCGGCTTTGGGGGAAATCTGCGATGCTATTCAGCATGCTAGCGTATAAATTCATTGTGCAATCTTTCTTTCCTGTTTTGGCTGCACGCATTGTCATGATCCAACGTGGAAAGACATGCCTGGTTACACTCAATTCATGAAGGCTCGTGTCGTGTTTTGATTTTGACCCACCGTGGGAAGAAATCGGATGCCAAGCAGATGACATTGGAACGCGCAGTGATCCGGAATGGTTTGGTGCAACGTGCAAAGAACCAATGTCAGTAACATTGCGGGCCGTTTCTTGACGCGCAGTGATCCGGAATGGTTTGGCGCAACGTGCAAAGAACCAATGTCAGTAACATTGCGTGCGGTTGCTTTCTTCAACGGCTGCAATCTGTGGGAAAAGATTGCGCAGTTAGCGTCATGACCATGGTGCTTGCTGCTTTTGGAAAGATGATGAAACTGTGACTGTGTCGCAACTTGAAATGCGTGCGCTCTGTGTCTAGATATATTGTAGTTGCGTTCATAGTTGCGTTGACAACCAGCTACATACGTGTTGTGTACTCTTGCGGCCAGGTACTTTTCCGATTTGTCATCGTCGTCGGACCCATGGCTGTAGGACAGGCGCGGCTTTCATCGGAGTTCGCCGTTTTGCACTAACAGAAGAAGCCTTTGAGTGGAACTTGAAATGCATGCGCTCTGTGTCTAGATATATTGTGGTTGCGTTCATAGTTGCATTGACAACGAGCTACATACGTGTTGTGTACTCTTGTGGCCACTTTTCCGATCTGTCATCGTCTTCGGACCCGTGGCTGTAGGACAGGCGCGGCTTTCATCGGAGTTCGCCGTTGTGCACTAACAGAAGACGCCTTTGAGTGGACGCACGTGCCTTTGGTTACAATCAGTTCATGAAGGCTCGTGTCGTGTTTTGATTTTGTCCCACCGTGGGAAGAAATCGGATGCCAAGCAGAAAAGTCTGCATGTGATACCGCATGTCAGTGCCTAGCTTGCACTCAGTTCATGTTTTGTGCCGGTTTACATTTTCTTATCCAGCAATGGACTTTTCGTCTTGTGCAGCCACAGCTGTAAGTGACATGCTTTGATGTCTCTGCACGGCATCTTGGGGCCCTGCACATTGTTCTTTTGCCGCACACCATCTTTCACACACCGCTTTGTCACACACCATCTTTCACCCACAACTTTCGCACACACGATCTTTCACACAAAACTTATGTCACATACACCATTTTCTTTGTCGCACACCATCTTTCATATACCGCTTTGTCACACACAACTTTTCACCTACAACTTGTTTTACTTCTTGGTCCTCCACCACCTCCTTTGTCTTTCCTTCCTTCCCCGTCCCCGCTACAACATTTGTTGCTCATTATTGGAAGAAGTTGACTTGTGGGGCTATCCGGTCCTTGAATTGATTGTTGTTTGTGGTAGTGGTTGTTGTTGTTGTTGTTGCTGTTTTTGTCTTCTTCTTCTTTTTTCTTCTTCCTTGTCTTGTGCTCCATGCAGGCCAGTTGTTTTTGGTCTTGTCGCGTGCGTTGACGCGAGAACCACAAAGAAGCAGTTTGGCTTGGCCGTATGAAAATCTTAGAGCCACACACTGTACCATGCCAAAACACTTGTTTATCATTTCTTATCACTTTTGTTTATCATGCTTTTATCATGTTGGCAGATTTTGGCAGGTACCCAAAATTGCCACAATGATAAGAACACGATAAAAACATGATAAACAATGACGAGGCAATGACAAAACCTTGGGTTTTCATCGTTTCTTAAAAATCACTTCAGGTTCTTATCTTTTTTTGAAATAACTGTGGCAAATTTTGGCACATGTTTACCCCAAATCTGCCAAAATGATAGTAATTATAAAGGCTCGAGGTTTTATCATTTTTATCACGTCTTTTTCACGTTTTCTCATTTTGGCAGTTACTGCCAAAATTTGCAAAAATCTGCCATGTTGAAAAGATGAAAAACATTTGATTTTGGGGTCTACAGCCTCTGGCTCAGTAGGGCTTTTTGCTGTGCGCATGTGGACCAATGTGCAGTGATCCTGCAGTTGGACAAAGTCAGACCATGTGGGTGGTTGCTGTAAGAGAAACATTTTGTTTTGCAACCGCATGGCCTATTCATGCTGATGGCAGTGTGTGATTTTGCACGTCCGCGCGTTTTGGTGAATTTTGGCATGTTTTCGCCCGCGTTTTGGGTTTCCTTTTTTTCAGCTGTCTTCACCACGCCCCAGGGACATCCGCTCTGGGATAAAGCACAGCTCGGCAGAAGCAGTTTCTTGGTTTTCTTTGGTGCTTTTGGCGCTGCGGTGTGAGTTCAATTTGCAGTCCAATACGGGTAGACTCTACCTCCCAGGGAGAGAGGAAAAAGAACGACGAGTGTATTTGATGTAGTAAATTGCAAAGTAAGCAGGAATCAAAAATCTTGTTTCTTTACCAGCCCAATTCGGTAGGGATCTGCGCCTGCAGCTTAGGCTTGTTGTTTGGGCCTTGTAATTTCCCAACAGGTATCCATCTCAACCGTCATTTCGAAATCCTGAAGCTTTGAAGGCCCGGGAGCTGGAACCGATTGTTGTCAAAGGTCAGCTGCTCATCGGCGTGCTGGCTGTTGCCGCCTTTCTCTTGGTTTCGCTTCTTGTCGACGCTTGGTTTCTGGTGGTGGTGGTGGTGGTGCTGCTGCTGCTGCTGGTGGTGGTGGTGGTTGGTGATGAGCGGTGATGCGTGGTGATGCGTGGCGAAGGTGTGGCGAAGGTGTGGCGATGGGTGGCGATGGGTGGCGATGGGTGGCGGTGGGTAGTGGGTGGGGTGTGTGACTGGGGTGTGTGACTGGCGTGTGCGACTGGGGTGTGGGGTGGGGGTGGGGTGGTGGGGGTTGGTGCTGTTGGTACCGTCAACCGTAGAAGGTTTGTTTTGTCAAAGCCGCATTTAAGTTTTGATCGGGCATATAGATCATGGATCCCCGTTTCGTCGCGATTCTTTCAATCATTACTCAGTCGCTTATCCAGTCTTGCACCTTGCGTTGCAGCAGATTTTAATTCAATGTTTGCTATAGGAGTTGTTTGTCTAGATTGTTGCCAGCCCTTGTGGATTTCTGTTGCTGGTCGATGGGCAACTTTTGATCGGCCGGCTTGTTTTGTATGATTTTGTTGGTTTTTGTGTCTTTGCCGATGTTCTGCTGGCTTTGGTCAATTCCCGAAAGCTCCTGCGGAGGGTCCCTCCTAAAGAGCAGCTGCCGACATGGATTTACCGCCTCATCTTCCTCATCATTATCTTGAACATCATTATCTTGAACATCATCATCATCATCATCATCAGCATCATAACCATCACCATCAGCATCATCAGCATCATAATCATCATCACCACCAACGTTATCGTCATCTTCTTCATAGCCAGCATTGTGATCATCTTCAGCATCTCCATAATATCATCATGTTCAAAATTAGAGTTAAACCTGCACATCTACAACTGTATATGTGCAGGTGTGTCGGTACAGGTGCACAGATGCGCGCGAAAATGCCTACGCATCCACAGCTGTACTGTAAAAAGGTGTAGGGATGCAGGTGCATAGATCTTCTAGAATACATCTGCGCATCAAATATTCTACACTTTGGCGGCAGGAAACTGCAGATAGATGCTTTCGAAGCCAACCCTCCCCTATGGAAAGCGCGTCGATCGTCCAAAATGAAAGTGAATTTGCGCTTTGGTTTTGATTCAGTGGCCCGTGAAAAATTGCAATTTGGTTTTAGCGTCAAATTTCCCGCAAGAGTTGTCAAAACTCGGCCGGTGCTCGGTAAACCCTTCTTGCGCGAAACGCTTCGCCATCGTGGAAAAGCTGCGGTAAACTTGCGATATTCTTGCACCGGCCTTGTGCTGGAAGAACCTTCCCCGTACGAAATACGTGCCGGGTATTCAAAACTGAGGCGATTTTGCATGTTTCTTGCCCCGAACTTGCCCGGGAAGAGCCTTTCCCGGACAAAACGCGCGTCCACGCACCTGTGTGTAAAGTACGTGCCTGTCAAAGCTTCTGCTTGAAAAAGCTTTTGGTAAAAGCGTTCCGTGCGTAAAGCGCCCGTGTGTAAGACTATTTGCGCGCAACACTTTTTGGGTGACTAAAAAGTATCGGTGTGTAAAAGCACCTGTGTGCCAGTGCTACCCAGGCAAGCCGTGGGCGGAAGTTTCAAGAATGAAGCGCTTATAGCCTATAGAGCGAACAGAAAAGTGTGCCTATAGGGTGTGGGCAAGCCCTCTTGACATCTGATGCCTGCGACATTTTCTCCAAGGCGTGATTCTTTCTCATTTAACCTGATTTCATCTCATCGCGGCTTTTCTTTGCAGCTCTTCCAATCGCATCCCATTGCCATTAATTATACCTTGCGTCAGCTCATTGCATCTCATGCCTTCTCTTATCTGCCCAGCTCATCCCAGCTTTTCTCAGTTGATCTCCGCTGTCCTCATCGCGTCTCATGTCATCTCAACTTTTTTCATGTCTTCTCTGCTCATCTAAACTCTTCTCTTTTGAGCTCTTCTCAGCTTCTGCCCTGTACGCTCTTCACCGCTCTTCTCATGTCAGGTCGTCTCAACTCATCTCATCTCAGCCTATCCAGCTCATCTCAGCCCGTCTACGGTTTTCTCAGCTCTTCTCAACTCTTCTCAGCTTATGCAAGCTCATCTCATGCCTTCTCATCTCGTCTCTCCTCTTCTCACATCTCATCAGCGGAAAGCGCCAAAAATGGGAAAATCATCGCAAACTCATCGTTGTAACTTTGGCGCAGCCATTCCAATGCGATTTGCAAGCAGCAAGCCGCACAAGACCATGGGACTAGGTGCGCCATAGAGCAGCAGTGACGCAGCCACTCCAGTGCGATTTGCAAGCAGCGAGTTGCAAAAGACTAAAAAACCTACGTGCGAAACAGCAGCGCAGAGCATCTTGCGATATGTCCAAGTGCAGTACGACTGCGCAGGCTCGCACAAAACGTGCGGCTAACTTCCGGGGCGCGGCATTTTTCCTGTAAATTCTCTTGTGGAATGGCTCTTCCGAGCTGTCCAAGTGCATGTCGATTGCGCGGGCTCACGCAAACTGTGGGTCGCGGCCACATCATCACCCTCATCATCTCACCTCCCTCCTTCTCAATATCATCAACCTCAACATCATCATCCTCCACCTCATCTTCCGCACCATCATCATCGTCCTCCACCCATCTTCCGCAACATTATCATCCTTTTCATGATCCTCAACATCATCATCCTCAACATCATCATCCTCAACATCATCATCTTCCTCCTTCTCAATATCATCATCCTCAACATCATCATCCTCCAGCTCATCTTCCGCATTATCATCCTCAACATCATCATCGTCATCATCATCATCATCGTCATCATCACCATCATCACCATCATCATCATCATCATCGTCTTAATCACCATCACCATCATCATCATCATCATCGTCTTAATCACCATCACCATCATCACCATCATCATCGTCCTAGTCGCCATCACCATTATCATCATTATCATCATCATCGTCATCATCACCAGTGTCGTCATCATCATCATCATCATCTTCATCATCACCATCATCATCATCATCATCATCCCCCTCCTCATCGTCATCATCGTCATCATCATCATCATCTTCTTCTTCTTCATCATCATATCAACATCAACATCATTATCATACGTTTTCATCGCGCACACACTGCTTGGGATCTTTTGCGGGTGTATTTATCAAAATATTCAATGCGGGGCCATGATTCAAAAGACACATTTTCTTCTTCTGCGCTGTTCAGAAAATGTGAGCCATTGAAGCTGGCCTCTGAAGCAGCAACTCTCTCGGCTCAGGTTATTTCTTCCGGGTGAACCCCTACCGAGTTACTAGGTTTTGCTTCGGTTGCTTTTTTTCCAACCATATTTCTTTGGGACTGTGCGTGACGAAGGCCGAAATGCAAGTAACCGCAATCAGACGTAATAGGAATTATGTTTTCCATTTGATGACTTTCAGACCCAAGGAGATGGTTAGCGACATGGTCCGCTATACGAAAATACCATTCTGTGGCTTGAAGCCTTTCTTACGAATGGTGGCCAATGTTGCAAAGGCATGGGGCGGACTACAGGGGGATTCGCCAGCGATTAAGATTATAACAGCTGTTTGGAGTCCGGAAGTAAGAAGCTACATCTTTCAGCAGCAGCAGCAGGAGGAGCAGGAGGAGGAGGAGGAGTAGTAGTAGTAGTAGTAGTAGAAGTAGTAGAAGTAGTAGTAGTAGTAGTAGAAGTAGTAGTAGTAGTAGTAGAAGTAGTAGTAGTAGTAGTAGTAGTAGAACAAACAACAAACAAAAAACAAACAACACACAACAAACAAACAACAACAAACAAACAACAAGGGACAAACAAACAACACACAACAAGCAAAAAAAAACAACAAAGAAACAAAGAAACAAAGAAACAAAGAAACAAAGAAACACACCAGCCAACGAACGAACGAACGAACAAACGAACGAACGAAGGAACGAAGGAACGAAGGAACGAACCAACGAACGAACCAACCAACAAACAAACAACCAACCAACCACCCACCCACCAACCAACCAGCAACCAGCAACCAGCCCCCAGCCACCAACAACCAACGACCAACGACCAACAACCAACAACCAACAACCAGAAACCAACAACCAACAACAACAACAACAACAAGAAGAACAAGAACAAGAACAAGAACAAGAACAACAACCACGACCACGACCACGACCACAACAACAGCAACAACAACACCAACACCAACACCAACAACCAACAACCAACAACCAACAACAACCCACAACCCACAAACCAAAACCCACAAACCACAAACCAACAAACCAACGAACCAACAAGCCAACAGACCCACAAACCACAAACCACAAACCAACAAACCAACACACCAACACACCAACAAACCAACAAACCAACCCACCAACAAACCAACCAACCAACCAACCAACCAAGCAAGCAAGCAAGCAAGCAAGCAAGCAAGCAAGCAAGACCAACCAAAACCAACCAAAACCAACCAACACCAACCAACACCAACCAACACCAACCAAAACCAACCAAAACCAACCAAGACGAACCAAGACGAACCAAGACCAACCAAGACCAACCAAGACCAACCAAAACCAACCAAAACCAACCAAAACCAACCAAAACCAACCAAAACCAACCAACAGCAAGCAACAGCAAGCAACAGCAAGCAACAGCAAGCAACAGCAAGCAACAGCAAGCAACAGCAAGCAACAGCAAGCAACAGCAAGCAACAGCAAGCAACAGCAAGCAACAGCAAGCAACAGCAAGCAACAGCAAGCAACAGCAAGCAACAGCAGCAACAACAACCAACAACAGCAAGCAACAGCAAGCAAAAGCAAGCAACAGCAAGCAACAGCAAGCAACAGCAGCAAGCAACAGCAAGCAACAAGCAACAGCAACAGCAAGCAACAGCAAGCAACAGCAAGCAACAGCAAGCAACAGCAAGCAACAGCAGCAACACCAACAACCAACAACACCAACAACACCAACAACACCAACAACAACACCAACACCACCACCACCACCACCAACAACAACAACAACAACACCATTTTGTGTCTCATGATGCATCGAACCCATTTCCAAGACAATCATTCACGGCTGTCATGAACCGCATACTTCTGCACACTTCTAGTGGCCCGCGGCTGGTTTAATGTCACAACTGCAGACAAAGTGCGGGACATGCCCCTTCACTGTCCTCCTCCCGGACCTGCATGTAGGCGAACTGTGTGGTGATTTGGATGTTTTTCCTCACGTGTTTGTGTGGGGTTCTTGCTTTTGGTTCTGTATCCCGTCCGCCTTTCCTTCCCTTGCCTCCTCCTCCGCGCCTCCCCCCTCCTTTTGTCACGCACAGCTTTGTCACACACAAAGTCTCACACACACACACACAACCTTTCATAATCTTTCACACGCAACTTTGCCACACGCAGCTTCGTCACACACATCTTTGCCACCACAACTTTGTCATACACGTGCAATCTTTCGCACAATTTGGTCATGCACAACTTTGTCACACGCAACCTTTTTCACACACAAACTTTGTCACGCACAGCTTCTTCACACGCAACTTTTTCACACACAATCTTTCACACACAACTTTGTCACGCACAGTTTGGTGATGTTGACGTTGTTTTTGCGTGGCAGGCGTGGGGCTTATGGCACTGGGCTGGCTCTGGTGGCGCGCTTGGTCGCCGTTGGTCCGTTTGGGCGCCGCAGCTTGTGCGTGGCAAGCATGGCGCTCGGTGACATTGACCTTCGTTTCACGTGGCAGGCGTGGCGCTTGGTGACATCCACGCTGCTCTTGGGTAAGGGCCTCGCTTCGGAACGCGTCTTCAGGCATCGCTTCGGAACGCGCTCTCATGCATCGCTTTCGAACGCGCCTCCTCACCATCATCATCATCATCGTCGTCGTCGTCATCATCATCATCATCATCTTCATTCCTCACCATCATCATCAGCATTTGCATCATGCTTCTTCTTCCGTTTATTCCTCTTCTTCTACTTCTTCTTCTTCTTTTTGGCCATCCTCTTCCTCATCAGCCTCATCCTCCTCATTATCCTCATCGTCAACAGCACGATCATCATCAGCAGCATCATCAAGTTTCTTCTATTTTTCTTCAGCATATTTATTCTTTCTTCGCCGCCAACACCATCATCATCATCGTCATCGTCATCGTCATCATCATCATCATCACCATCGTCATCCTCCTCATCATCATCAGCAAGATATAAACCCTAAAGGTGTCGTGGCTCTTCTTACATCAAGTGCAACAAGATATAAACCCTAAAGGTGCCGTGGCTCTCCTTACATCAAGTGCAACAAGATATAAACCCTAAAGGTGTCGTGGCTCTCCTTACATCAAGTGCAACAAAATTTGTCTCTTCTTACATCAAGTGCAACAAGATACAAACCCTAAAGGTGTCGTGGCTCTTCTTACATCAAGTGAGACAAGATATAAACCCTAAAGGTGCCGTGGCTCTTCTTACATCAAGTGCAACAAGATATAAACCCTAAAGGTGTCGTGGCTCTTCTTACATCAAGTGCAACAAGGTATAAACCCTAAAGGTGTCGTGGCTCTTCTTACATCAAGTGCAACAAGATACAAACCCTACAGGTGTCATGGCTGTCCTTTCATTAAGTGCAACAAGATATAAAGCCTAAAGGTGTCGTGGCTCTTCTTACATCAAGTGCAACAACAAATAAACCCTAAAGGTGTCGTGGCTCTTCTTACATCAAGCGCAACAAGGTATAAACCCTAAAGGTGTCGTGGCTCTTCTTACATCAAGTGAGACAAGACATAAACCCTAAAGGTGTTGTGGCTCTTCTTACATCAAGTGCAACAAGATATAAACCCTAAAGGTGTCGTGGCTCTCCTTACATTAAGTGCAACAACAAATAAACCCTAAAGGTGTCGTGGCAGTCCTTACATCAAGTGCAACAACATACAAACCCTAAAGGTGTCGTGGCAGTCCTTACATCAAGTGAGACAAGATATAAACCCTAAAGGTGCCGTGGCTCTTCTTACATCAAGGGCAACAAGATATAAACCCTAAAGGTGTCGTGGCACTCCTTACATCAAGTACAACGAGATATAAAGCCTAAAGGTGTCGTGGCTCTTCTTACATTAAGTGCAACAAGATATAAACCCTAAAGGTGTCGTGGCACTCCTTACATCAAGTACAACAAGATATAAACCCTAAAGGTGTCGTGGCAGTCCTTAGATCAAGTGCAACAACATAAAACCCTAAAGGTGTCGTGCCTCTTCTTACATCAAGTACAACAAGATATAAGCCCTAAAGGTGCCGTGGCTCTTCTAACATCAAGTGCAACAAGATATAAACCCTAAAGGTGTCGTGTCACTCCTTACATCAAGTACAACAAGATATAAACCCTAAAGGTGTCGTGGCTCTCCTTACATCAAGTACCATAACATGTAAACCCTAAAGGTGTCGTGGCTCTTCTTACATGAAGTGCAACAACATTTAAGCCCTAAAGGTGTCGTGGCAGTCCTTACATCAAGTGCAACAACATATAAACCCTCAAGGTCTCGTGGCAGTCCTTACATCAAGTGCAACAAGATATAAGCCCTAAAGGTGCCGTTGCTCTTCTTACATCAAGTGCAACAAGATATAAACCCTAAAGGTGTCGTGGCTCTTCTTACATCAAGTGCAACAAGACATCAAGTGCAACAAGATAAGAACCTCAAAGGTGTCCTGGCTCTTGTTACATCAAGTGCAACAACATGTAAACCCTAAAGGTGTCGTGGCAGTCCTTACATCAAGTGCAACAACATATAAACCCTCAAGGTCTCGTGGCAGTCCTTACATCAAGTGCAACAAGATATAAGCCCTAAAGGTGCCGTTGCTCTTCTTACATCAAGTGCAACAAGATATAAACCCTAAAGGTGTCGTGGCTCTTCTTACATCAAGTAGAACAAGATATAAAGCCTAAAGGTGTCGTGGCTCCTAAAGGTGTCGTGGCTCTTCTTACATCAAGCGCAACAAGGTATAAACCCTAAAGGTGTCGTGGCTCTTCTTACATCAAGTGAGACAAGACATAAACCCTAAAGGTGTTGTGGCTCTTCTTACATCAAGTGCAACAAGATATAAACCCTAAAGGTGTCGTGGCTCTCCTTACATTAAGTGCAACAACAAATAAACCCTAAAGGTGTCGTGGCGGTCCTTAGATCAAGTGCAACAAGATACAAACCCTAAAGGTGTCGTGGCAGTCCTTACATCAAGTGAGACAAGATATAAACCCTAAAGGTGTCGTGGAAGTCCTTACATCAAGTGCAACAACATATAAACCCTAAAGGTGTCGTGGCAGTCCTTACATCAAGTGCAACAACATGTAAACCCTAAAGGTGTCGTGGCAGTCCTTACATCAAGTGCAACAACATATAAATCCTAAAGGTCTCGTTGCTCTTCTTGCATCAAGTACAACAAGGCTTTTGTTTCATATATTCACCTTCATTTTCTGTGGCAGGTGTGGGACCTTTTGACATCGACCTTCATTTTGCGTGGCAGATGTGGCACTTTTGTACATCGACTGTCCTTTTACGTGGCAGGCGTGGGACTTTATGACATGGTTGAAACGAGTCAAATTCTCATACGAGGAGGTTTTTTGTGTTGGTCTCGCTTTGGAACGCGTTTTTCTTCCAAAGTCCCGCGCCTGTCAGTAAATCTGATGTGTGTGTATGGCGGGGTTTCCATGAGATGTTTTATTTTGTGTTCTAAAGTGATGCAAAATGGCTGTGTTCTAAAGTGATGCCTGAGAGTGTGTTCCAAAGTGATCCTTTTACCCGTGCGGTTGCGTGGCAGGCGTGGCAGTTATGGCTCTGGTGGCGCGCTTGGTTCCCCGTTTGACACCGCGGCACTTTGCGTGGCAGGCTTTGTGGGACTTGCTGACATCGACCTTCGCTTTGCGTGGCAGGCGTGGTGCTTGGCGGCATCGACGCTGCTTTTGCGTGGCGAGTGTGGCGCTTATGGATGGCGCCCTGCGCTGGGCTGGCTCTGGTGGCGCGCTTGGTCCGCCTTGGTCCCGTTTGACGCCGTGGGCTTTTGCGTGGCATGCGTGACTTTGTCGCGCACAATTTTTCACACACAACTCTCACACACAACTCGCTCACATTCAACTTTATCGCGTACATCTCTCCCACATGCAACTTTGTCACGCACGACTTTGTCAGACACACACGCACACAGCTTTGTCACACACAACTCTTTCGAACAACTCTTTCACATACAACTCTTTAAAGCTATCGGCCCTCCACCATTTCCTTTGTTTTTCCTGCCTTCTCCGCACCACTTCGACCACTGTTTCTGATTATGTGAAGAAGTTGACCTGTGCGGTTATCCGGTCCTTTAATTTTGACATACTTGGCCCAGAATTTGAGCAGATCCAGGCCGCTGTGGATGCAGGTTGTGCTTCGCAAGGTGTCTATCTAGAAGAAACTGGGCAAGAAATATTGCAATTCTTGCGTTCGTGCTGTTTTCTGCTGAGCATCAAATTTGTGATACTTTATTTCGCCTGAGCGTCTTGGGATAGAACCAGCACGCACACAGAAACACACAGAAACACACAGAAACACACAGAAACACACAGAAACACACAGAAACACACAGAAACACACAGAAACACACAGAAACACACAGAAACACACAGAAACACACAGAAACACACAGAAACACACACAGAAACACACACACAGAAACACACACAGAAACACACACAGAAACACACACAGAAACACACAGAGAAACACACACAGAAACACACAGAAACACACAGAAACACACAGAAACACACAGAAACACACACACACACAGAAACACAGAACCACCCCACCCACCCACCCACCACACAACCACACACACACACCACACCCCACCACCACCCACACACACCCACACCCCCACACACCCCACCCACACCACACCCACACCACACACCACACCCACACCACACACACCCCACCCACCCACCCCCCACACCCCACAACCCACACCCCACACACACACACCACACCAACACACACACACACCCCACATGCACAGGCACAGGCACAGGCACAGGCACAGGCACAGGCACAGGCACAGGCACAGGCACAGGCACAGGCACAGGCACAGGCACAGGCACAGGCACATGCACATGCACATGCACATGCACATGCACATGCACATGCACGTACATTCTTCGAAACACACTTACGCAGCGACGTGGAATTTGTTCTTGTCTTTTCTATTTTCCCTTTTGGCTAGAGTGATCAAGAGCTCAATCCAAAGCTTCAAATTGTGCACACCAGACCATGGCTTCCCACAAGGACAGTCGGGTTTGTGAGTTCACCTTCGTCGAGGGAGGCAAGTGCGGATGTTGTCTTCGCTTAGATCAGCCACATTGCGTTTTTTCAACAGACCGACATGTGGGCAAGAGCAGGTGGGACACTCTGAAACAATATTATTAATGTTTCAAGTTCTTTTGTTAATTTTCCCTGCCAATCTTATCGTGCGGACTGCAGGGCCACACTTGGGGGACTGTGCAATGTGGGCCACCACGGTGCTACGTGTGAATGCCCAGCACCGCCGAGCCCAAAGTCCTGAGTTTGAGGGATCCCGTACATGCTACCCAAACACAAGTAAGTAGTGGCTTCACTTGTACTATTCGTTCCAGTTCAGCGTTCCATTTGTTTCAATCAGTACATCCCATATCTTCACGGTCTTCACGACTTATTTTCAAAATTTCACAGCGCGTGGGAGAAACGTGCCGTGACTGGACTCATAAGGCGACTTGTTTTTCTGACTGTATCCTAAACGTGCCGAAGTAGCATTGAGATTGTCAGAAACAGATCTAAACTTGGATATCAAACGCTTTGCACTTGACACCAGGTCTGGTTGGAGTTCAAACAAGATCTATTGCTTTCGAACCTTTGCCTGATGCTGCTGCACTTTTTCAGCAGACGCTTGTCAGAACTTGTTCATATCTGACTTGGACAAATCCACTATATCCAGTCCTCTCCCAACGTGCGATGCGCTCTGTTTAGAAAGCTTGAAATCACAGATGTGTGCCGGTTGTAGCGGTTACGCGCCAAAAAATGGCTGAGGAGTGTCCTCGAGAACGGCCTATCATCCCATGTCTCGGTTCGCAATGCGGCGCTTGGTCAGAGCAGCGGCGCCATGACAGAACTGATCCATTTCAGAGGTCACAATGGCCAGGCCCCGATCCGAAGTGCGGTCAACATATCTTTGGAACATTTTTGAACAGAGTTCTGGAACGTTTTGGAATGTCTTGGAATTGTGGGTATTTTCCTTGGTATTCTCATTGGTATTCTATGCAACAGTAGCTAAAGGACTTAGCATGAATGACAAAGCTAGTTGCACGGATTGTAGAAGCTCATTCGGGTCAAATGTTGAGAATTTGCAGTTCGGATGTTGCACCATGTTGCACGTTCAGCGCGCCTTGGAGTTTGACCTGCGCCAGGCTACGGTGAATGGTCAAGATTTTCCTTCTCAAGATCGCCGAGAGGCTGTTCTGTGCACAGTAGTAGGATCATGGGAACGTGGTAGCTCGTAGCAGGAATAGATTCGACAGGCGGGGCTTATTTTCATGCGTTTGCAGTGACATGCTGCACATGCACACTGTAGACTGGAGGGGCATCCTGTACATTTACAATCCTGAGAATTAGTGGTTTAGGTTTTGATGAGCCGAGCAGCGCATTGAATTTGAATGGTGGAGAATGAGACGCAATGCTGATTCAAACACTTCATGACTCATTAGTTCAATTTTTCCGGTTGTTTCTGCTTGTTGCTATTTGCTGCTCAGGTGGTGACCATCCCTGCCTTGGAACTGGCTTTGGACGATCAGATCCCCCCCAGTTGGCCTCGCATCGATGCTCTGAAGCTCAGCGTCAATGGAGCTGAACGAAACACTCTCGTGCTGACCTCAGAGTCCAAAAACTGTCGCCTGAAGAGCACCGTTAAAAGTGAGGACAACACAGCCAATGAAAAACAGAATCTTTACAGATCTCAGCAAAGACTCACAATGTAAGAAATACGATTATTCCTTCACGGCCAGCTGTCACTGAATGCGGACCTAGTTATAATAACTTGCCTCTTCCCTAAACTTGAAAAACGCGCATTGAAAGGCAGACACTTCATCGCAGTAGAGGAATTTGGACTAAACTGATGCAACTTCTTAGTGACCTCAATGAAAGTCAAACCAGAGAAATAGGTGGGGGCACAACTTGTGAATGCCTTTGAACGGACACCCTCTGCTTTCCACGCGGTATGTTCCCGGAGATGGCGCAACAAGGTTTGTTTCGTTCAACATATTGTAGGGCTTCGCAAACCGGCGATGCCCCAACCCCAGTTGTCGTTCCTGCTGTTGCTGTTGCTGTTGCTGGTGCTGGTGCTGCTGCTGCTGCTGCTGCTGGTGGTGGTGGTGCTGGTGGTGGTGCTGGTGGTGGTGGTGCTGGTGCTGGTGGTGGTGGTGGTGGTGGTGCTGGTGGTGGTGCTGGTGGTGGTGCTGGTGGTGGTGCTGGTGGTGGTGCTGGTGCTGGTCGTGGTGCTGCTGCTGTTGCTGTTGCTGTTGCTGGTGCTGTTGCTGCTGCTGCTGCTGCTGCTGCTGGTGCTGGTGCTGGTGCTGGTGCTGGTGGTGTTGTTGTTGTTGTTGTTGTTTTTTGTTTTTGTTTGTTGTTTTTTTGTTTGTTTGTTTTTTTGGTTTTGTTGTTTGCAACCTCTCTGCCCTCACGGGCTTCCCCTTGCTGTCGGCCGGGGGATTTCCAACAGCAGTGACTGTTGGGTTTCAAGCTTTGGGTCTGGGAGTGGTGCGCTGTTTTTTGTCAGCCCTGAAACCCGGAACGGAACCTTGGAAACCTGGACCCCTAGAACCTGATGTGGGTTGCAAAGCTGGATTAATTTTGCCATATTTGGAAAACTGTTTGTGTTGCGTGAATAGCAATCTTGCTGTCGAGACAGTTCGATCGAGACCCAATCTTTCTGATAGTCTTGACTCAAGGGCTGAGCATGTCAGAGGGCGGTGCCTATGCCTATGCCAAGGCAGGAGCGCGGAAACTTCTCAACAAGCGTCGAATTTGCTCAGTGCTTTGGCTGAAGACAAGAGAAAAGCGGCTATGTGCAGTTGGGAATTGTTGGTAGCACGTAAATACCTGCGAACTACACAAGCCCACAATGCCAATTGCAGCCAATGTTTTTACGCCCCAGGTCCTGATGCATGCTACCAAGTGCAAGAGGCAGGCATGTTCAGAGTTTTCCTTATCGCACTGCAGGAGCTTTGAGCTTGGTTTCAGCTGCCGAGCAATCATGGACATGGTAGGACATATGAGAGAGAGGGAGGGAGAGAGAGAGTGAGTTGTCAGAATGCTTCGAAATGCCAGGGGGCGCAGACCTGCGAGTGAGGATCCAGCACCAGGAAATGTCTCCAAGCCACTTGGATCAGAGCGGGCTGGCCATTTTCCTCAAAAATTATCCAGCAGTCAAGGCAGAACGGACCGGGGATTTTGATGAGTGCTATACCGGAACTCGAAGCGATTGCCGGCCAGAAAGTATTAGTATCTCAATTGAAACTACGCGGCCGACTTAGGTTTGCGCATGACTTGATGATGTTCTTGGAAGAAGGGCACCTTGGAAGGATGGTGAATGGTTGCAACTCTTTGTTTCACAAAAGATCTGCTGCATGTCATGCGAATGTATGACAGCAACTGATCGAATCCCATCGTCACTGTTTTGTGCTTGGCATGATTTGGCTCAAGTGTGCAGACTCCAATGACCGCCTTCTGACACCTTGTGCCTTCTTTGGATGGGTGTGGTGGGCCGGGACGACGAGAGGGCCGGACAAACAATGCCTTGGTGTTTGGTGGGCTTTTCTGGAGTGGCAAATTGAGCGCGGACGCAGGAACATGGACAGAGGACTATGAGGAATATTGAAGAACTATAAATGGCGAAAGATGCGAAAGTTCTTAAGGAGCGGGATCGAAGCATGCGCGCGCGAAGATTTGCAATGTTCTAGTTCCAAGGTACGCACGCTTTCGATGTAACAATTGGAAGCCCTCCATGCAGGGACGAATGGTTACGAACATTTTTTTACGAACATTTTGAGATTGTAGAGCTTCGCACACCGGCGATGCCTGTAGGGGTCGGGGAAAAAATGTTAAAAACATTAGTTCAAAGAAGTTTTATAAATTCAAATTATAGCAGTATAACAACTCAATAGTTATTAGCAAAAAAAACATAACAACTAACCACAATTACCTCATTCATTCCACAAAATCATCACTACTAACCATATCATCATCTCATTCATTTTCATAAATCAAAACAACCTACAATCTCTATACCTCATCCATTTTATAGAAATCATCACAGTCAATACATCATCACCTCATCCATTCCATACCCAAAACAAAACAACCAAACAACAAACAAAAAAAAACAAACCAAGCAAAGCGCAACATAAAAAACAAAACAATAGACAACAATACAGATACTTCCTTAGTCTTTAATAATCCTATCTTACAAACCCATAACTCTAATAATGTTATCATTAAAATTATGTAAGTAGTAAATGACTTCAATAATTACTAATTCAAAATGAAATGCTTGTATTCCTATTATACTGTCTTTATCATTGTCTTCATCTATATCTTCCTGTATTTCTTCAACTGCTTTATCTAATACATCATCTATATTATCTTTATCTACGTATTCATCAAAGCCATTCATAAAATAAATCTCTCTATAACAAAATTCATTTTCTCCATATTCCTTTTCTGGGAGTTTTGCCACTAATTGAACTTCAATATCAAGTTTAACTCCGTATTTACAGCATCTTCTACTTCTTCATAAATTAAAGATAATATTTCTTCTTTTTCTTCTGTTATTATGTCTTCTATACTTTTTAAACTAAATGGCACTCCCTCTCTCATAATACAGTATTCAATGATATATATTTTTTTCTTGATTTCAAATGTCTTGTTATTTTAGGACCAAGTCTTGATATTTTATATTGTGCTGTATTCTCTTCAATGCTTCACTATACTTTACTTTCAAATATTTCGGGTCTCCAATTTTTTTCCGAATCAATTTTACTCAACACATCAACAGGTAAATCCTTCACACAATCCATCCCACTAATATACTTAAATAACTATTCTTTAAGTATATATTCTATGATTAAAATAATGCATTCTTTTGAAAACTACTTAAAGATAAATTAACTAAATAAAATATATACTATTATATGATGAAAAAAGTTATAGACTACTTATTGAGTAATGACTTAGCAGAAATACCAAAGAGAGGAAGGAAAGAATTGAAGTCCATAATCATAGACAACAGGAAATTCAGATACAACAAAGACAAACCAACATCAAATGTCTTGACCAAGAAACTACTATCAGTAAAGAACACTAATGAATACAGAAGTTATGCTATGAAAAAGGCAACAGATGTTGTAAGTAGAGAAAGGGTTAGACAATTAGTAACCAAACACGCAATAAGAAATAAATTTAGGGTCAGAGATATTCAATCAGCATTTAGAAGATATGCTAATTCAATAGTTTTAGAAAACAAGCACTTTCAAGGAGAAAGAGGATTAGAAATGATTGCTCACCAAAAGCAAAGACTATCAGAATTTTTAAGCAATAATAGAAACATGAAACTTAACATAAGAACGGAAGGATTGTTTGAAAAACCTGAGTATGATGATGGAGGAAATGAATTAGGAAGTCAAGAACTTGTATATGCTTTACCATCAACATATCATCCATTTCACAATGAATATGAACTGACACAAGCATTAGAAGATAGTGTTATTCAAATCCGATTACAAATACAAAATTTGGAAGGTTCAACATCTAATTTAAGATTTAGAAAGATTTTATCAATAACTATTCACTATGACAAATTTGACCCAACAAGAGCAGGCAGTTTTATAGAATTACCAGAATGGATTAAATCAAAGAAAGCTTGTATCAACATAAAAAATAAAGACCAAACATGTTTCAAATATATACTGTATTCAATCCGTAGTCTATGACAAAATTAGCAAACATCACCCAGAGGAAATGTTCCACTATAATAAACTAAACGATGATATTTTGAACTGGGATGGTGTAAAATTTCCAACTTGCAATAGGGACATAGACAGATTTGAAGAGAACAACAACTTAATTTCAATAAATGTTTTTGAAACTGATGACTGCCTAAATGATAATAAAATAATCATACATAGAGGCACTAAAAATAGAAATGCTAAATATGAAATTGATTTATTAAAAGTCTATGATAAAGGTAATAACTATCACTATGTATTAGTGAAAAACAAAAGTAGATTACTTAACTGCCAAAGCAACCAAAATATCAACAAGAAACACTACTGCCATCATTGCTTAAACCCTTTCTCATCAGAAAAGGCATATAAGAACCATCTTGAAAAGGGATGTATGGCATCAGAAGGACAACAAACAAAGATGCCTGATAAAGACACTTACATAGAATTTCAAAAGCATAATACCAAATTGCCTTGTCCTTTTGTAATCTATGGTGATTTTGAATGTCTAACCACTAGCTCTAACAATGGTATAAAAGGCACATATCAGGAACATAAACCGTGCGGTTATATGTTGAATGTAGTAAGAAGGATTGATAATACATGCCAACCATACTTATACAGAGGTGAGGATTGTATGAAAAAGTTTGTAGAACAACTGACTGAAATTAAGAAAGATATATTTGAAAAGATGAATGTTAATAGACCAATGGATGAATTAACTTACGAACAAAAGACAGAATTTAGAAACGCGACCCACTGCTCTATATGTAATAAGAAATTTCAACCTGATGATACAAAAGTCCAAGACCGCTGCCACTTCACAGGCAAATACAGAGGCGCGGCGCATGTAAAATGTAATTTGGATTATTCATTTAGGTATTTTAAGATCCCTATTTTCTTTCATAATGTAAAAAATTATGACGCTCACTTAATCATAGCAAAAGCAAATGAACTAAACATAGAACTAAACCAAAACAAAAGAATAGATGTAATAGCACAAAACAGCCAAAAGTTCATAACCTTTTCATTTGGCGCTTGTCAGTTTAAAGACAGTTTTGCTTTCTTAACAGCATCATTAGATAAATTAGTTAGACTGAACAAATATGAAGGAAATGAAAAGATTAAAAACTGGGAAACTCGTTTTAGATATACAAGCGCTAACCCATACATTAAATCAAAAACTGATTTGAATTTACTAACTGAGAAAGGGGTATATCCCTATGACTACATGAACTCATGGGAGAAATTCGATGAAACAAAACTACCAAAAAAGGAAGAATTTTACAGTAAATTATATGAAGAAAACATAACTGACAAAGACTACGCCAGAGCAAATATCGTATGGAAACATTTTGACATTAAAAACCTTGGTGAATATCATGATTTATATTTGATGACTGATGTATATTTACTAACTGATGTATTTGAAAATTTTAGGGACATGTGCTTAAACTATTATGGATTAGACCCAGCATATTATATCACTTTACCTCCCTATTCTTGGAATGCCTTTTTATCATTAACAGGAGTTAGACTTCAACAAATCCACATAAAAGAAATGTATGAGATGATTGAAAAAGGATTAAGAGGAGGAATGACACAATGCTCCTTCAAGAAAGTAGAAGCAAACAATAAATACATGAATGAAGATTATGATAAATCTAAACCTTCATCGTACATAAGTTATTTAGACGCTAATAATCTTTACGGATTAGCAATGTATAAGAAACTTCCCTATGATGATTTTAAATGGCATTACGGTAGAATGGATGAAAAGAGAGTAATGAAATATTGTGATGATGATGACATAGGATACATATTGGAAGTTGATTTAGATTACCCAAAAGAACTACATGATTTACATAAAGACTACCCACTAGCACCTGAAATCATGTGTATCAATGAGAGTATGCTTTCACAAGTCCAAAAGGATATACACAAATACTATTATGGAAAAGATGCCAGTGATGAAAAGACAAATAAGTTAGTATTAAATGTGATGGATAAAAAGAAGTATGTTTTACACATATCAGCATTGAAATTCTGTTTGCAACACGGATTACGTCTTAAAAAAAGTCCATAGGGCAATAAGTTTTAAACAAGCAAACTTCCTAAAACCATTCATTGAATTCAACACTGAAAAGAGAAAGAATGCCAACAATGACTTTGAAAAAGATTTGTTTAAGTTAATGAATAATAGCGTATACGGCAAGACCATGGAGAATGTAAGAAAGCATGGTGATTTTGAAATTGTCAATACGCCTGAACGCTTCCAAAAACGGGTAAATAAACCGCTATTCAAGCACAGACATATCATAAATGAAGACCTTGTAATTGTTGAAAAAGATAAACACACAGTGGAACTAAACAAACCTATCTATATGGGTATGTCTATTTTAGACTATTCTAAAATTCACATGTATTCCTTCTCTTATGATGTTTTGAAACCAAAATATCAAGATAATATTAAATTGGTCTATACTGATACTGATAGTTATGTAATCAAAGTTGAGACTGATGACTTATATGAAGACTTTAAGGAGATGAATGATTACATGGACTTTAGTG